GATTTTTATTCAGAAAATTTTAAAAAAAAAAAATCTAAGCAATTAAATGTTTTAAAGGAAAAAATTAAAAAATAAAAAATAAAAATGTCCCAAGTAAAATTGACCGAAAATGTTAAAAAATATAGTGGAAAATGGCTCAAACAAACCCTTATATTTATAGGTTTAGCAGGGGTATTTTCGTCAGATTTTGGAAAAAAATATATTAGCAGAGGGGGTTTTTGTATTTATGTGTAGTACAGGGGGGTAAATGATACAAAGTCCATAGTACAGGGGTGTTTTTGTATTTAGCCCTTAATATAATCATGAAAGGAATAAATCCAAAATCTTGCAAATTAAAAAGCGTGCAACGAATCTCTACCTGAGTAAGAAGAGCATCATCAGTTGGAAGCCTGAGGTCATCTTTAGTGTTGCCATTGTCAGTCAACAAGCTCACCTAAAAAAAATTATCCCCGTAATTTATTAACCATGACCACGCTATAAAAAATGCAACAATGATAGAGATTTAAAACAAAAGGGAACATACAAATCCATCCTCGGATATGTCAATGAGCTGGTAGTCAGTACGGTTGACATGCGGAACCTGCAATCCAATTAAAATTTCTTTAATCACAACTCTATACAATAAATAACATTGAATCTACATAGTAAACAACAATGCAGGGAGACGAAGAGGGAGAATAGTACGTACATCACAATTGTGGGAAGAGGGGACAATATCTTCAAGCTTCTTTGAGGTAAAGATGTCAATGGCAACAAAATGACATTTGGCATGACCGTGCTTTCCAGTTTTGGAGGTCGAAACTTCAACAACCTGTAACAAACATAGGCATATTTAGTATCACATAGACATGATGTAGAGACGTGATTCTAAAGAATAATTGCCAGCAAATCTATTCATAAAGTTAAATTAAACCCGCATTTATAAAGAACTATGATTTTCTCATTTTCTTCGTTATCAACTTTTCATCAACATCAATTTATATACAGAAGGCCTTTTCATATATGGTTTCGAGCAAATGAGTCCTACTTGAGAGAATTATACAACATTTTTCACCAGAAGATTCTACAAAACCTCTCCCGGGCCCATGGATTAAATTGTGCATCCATATCTACCAAAATAACCCACTAACAACAGAGAAATCGATTATGTGCAAATATCGATATTACAATCTAAGCTAACAAAACAGTAATACAGGATGCCAATTGTTGATAATTTTTGTCAATAAAAACATTCAGATACATGCTACACCAGATCATATATCTACACAGAGAAAAAATACAAGGAAAGATGAAATCAAGCTAAAAAAGCCAATCAACTCGATCGACTATACGTATACAAAACCTGTAAACAATTGAATAATTACGGAAGATAAAGGAATTCATTTCTGAATTAGAAAAACTGATCAACAAAATTAACTGCGTCTAGCAACTGAAGATATCAGCTTATTTACTCAGATCTCATAGTATACCTAAAACCACCAGGTGTGAATTCAAATCTAGAAAAATAAAATGCGACAAAAAAACGTACAAAAAGGAGAGAGAGAGAGAGAGAGAGAGAACGAATCAAACCTTGCAGGGGCGGGCCTTGATGACAATGTAACCACCCTTACGAATAGTTCCGGCCTGCTGCGGGTAGGTTTTGGAAGCACCGGCGTCGGCCTTCGACTCGAACTGATGCTCCTCGTCAGACATCCTCGGCGGCCGAACTAGATAGATAAAACCAGCAAAACCCTAGAGAGAGAGAGAGAGAATGGGAGAGCTCAACGCAGATAAGCGAGAATGAATTGGGGGCGTGTGAAGTGAATTTCTGTTTATATACGGATTGTGTGTGTGCGTGTGTGTTCAGATGAGGGAGATTTTAGGGTTTTTGTGAAGGGGGATGGGATGATTGGTTTTGGGCCGTCCGATTGTCTTCCTGAAGCGGTTGACGGATACGATTCCTTCGGATTTTTTGCTTCAAAACGACGCAGTGTAGAGGGGCTTTTCTTATTTTATTTTTTTATTTTTTATTTTTCTTTTGTGCTTATCTGGTCAATTCGTCATGTTCTGTAGGGCCGTGTGAATTGTGATAACGTCCGCGTCCGTGTAACGGTGTTAAGGGCATAATTACTCACGTAAATATATGGATAATTATGGTCACCACCCCCGAGGTCAAATTACGAGAAACCCCTCGTGTTTTAGTAATTATAACCATCCCCTTCAACTATTAATTTTCTTACAAGTTCATGCTTATAGTGTCAAATTCAACATAATCTTCTAGATCACCGTAGTTGACAAGTCAAGGAACACGCATTTATGAACATCTTGTTTTAAAATGTGGAGCTCAAATGAGGTAAAACGAGTAAAAACTATACAATATTCCATATAATCTAGAAGATTCCACTGAATTTGACACCGCAATGGTCAGTGGCGGACCCAAGGTATGCCTTGGGGGGCCCGTGCAGGAATTTGTTTAGCTCTTTTTTATTGTTCTTTTTAATATTTAGTGTTATTTATCTATTAATTTATACACTTTAGCTCCCCAAAATTTAAATTTTGTATCATTTTACTCCAAAAAAATTTCTAGCCCCAATCCCCCCTGGGTCTGCCCCTGGCAACGGTGGACGTGTGAGAAGATTCATATTTGAGGGATGGTTATATTTACCTAAATAAGAATAATTTTTTCGTAATTTAACCTTAGCTCGGAGTGGGTGTCCGTAATTTATACTAAAGATATTAATAGCAACATTTATTTATTTATAAAAAAAAAAAACAAATATGTAAAAATATTTACAAAATAGATAATATTAAGCAATAAGGACAACCATATATTTATTTTCCCTTAAAATTCCATACTCCATTTTTTTTTACACTAATCTAGATTAAAGTACAGTTAAAACCTCTATAAATTGATATAGTTAGAATAAAACTCTATTAATTTAGTCAAATATTTAAGAACGCTTTCCTTGAGGCGGGACAATGCAAATATATTATTTAAACAAAATTACTAATTTATCATAATTCTATTGTACAATTGTTTAATACATTCTTATAACTGTTATACGCGTAATTTAACTTACTAACAACCTTTATATACATACATAAATTACATACTCACAAAATTAAATTGATCAAACTAATTAAATTTTATAATTCGTACAAACTAAAACCACAATCAACTTAACTCTAATTAAGGAATGGTCTAGCAGTTGGAACGAGTGAACCTGTGTCAATAGAATCAGGTTTAGGTCCTTTTGTCAACGGTCGTTAGATCAAGCTTGTCACATATAGTTACTCTATTGTGGTTTACGAACTCAATCATCCACTTAATAAATCAAAATCATAAACAAATAAAGGCTAATTATATTTTGGTCCTTATATTATACACTGAAATTGATTTTAGTTCGTATATTATATTCTCCACAATTTTAAAATTTAATACAGGGGGCACTATGAATGATTTATTGTATTTTATGGGTATAAATTGTTATTAAGATTGTTTAGGGGAGCAAAGTGCCAAAATGTTATTTGTCAAAGTGCAAAGTGGCAAAACGCTATTTGTTAAGGGGCAAAGTGGAATAAAGCTAAGTTATCATGACTACCTTTGTTTTGTTTATTCCCGAAATAACCCCGCACAGACAACCCCACTTCTCCTCGGCCGTGCGGCGACTCCTGTAAGGCTCCTCTACCTTCTCCGGCGTACTGGTATTTCAATTTTTTCCGTTCTCTTCTGCTCGATTTTCTAATTTCTTCTGATTAACTGTGCTTCTTTTCATCTTCTACGTCTTCTTCGTCTTATTCTGTATACAGCTTCATTCATTTTGCACGAGATCCATATTATGCAAACATCCTCAATTTTTTTAGGTTCATTTCCTCTTGTTTTTGTCAGAATCAGGAATTGTATGTCGAAATTTTCATTGGGCGGTTATTTTTTTCTCGATCCTTTTTTCTGCCCAAAGTTCGTAGCCCTAGTTTTCAGTTTTTTTCTTATGTATTGTATATAAATTCGAATGAATAGCTTGATTCTGAAATTCCAAATAATCCAGAAAATTGGTAAATTGATGAGTTCATCTAATATTCGGATTCTTTTGGAGTTCGATTATTTGTTTGACTCGTTCATTTATTTTAGTGGAAATGCGGCTTGTGGTATCTATATTCATAGACTAATATTTCCTTCATTTTAGTGAGATCTTGTTGCTATCGCATATCTGTCTGAAATTAATTAATTGGATGCGATCAACAGGTAACTGAAACTGAAATGCTGAAGCTGCAAACTTACGCGGGGCTTAGCTTCATAGCTACGTTGGCTGTTACTTATCATGCCTTCAGTAGTAGAGGCCAGTTTTATCCTGCAATGGTTTACTTGTCGACTTCAAAGATCAGTTTGGTGCTTCTTTTAAACATGGGACTGGTTCTCATGTGCATTTTGTGGCAACTGACCAAGAAAATCTTCCTCGGCTCGCTTCGGGAAGCAGAAGTAGAAAGGCTGAACGAGCAGTCGTGGCGGGAGATTATGGAGATACTGTTTGCGGTCACTATTTTCAGACAAGATTTTTCAGTTACATTTATTGCAATGGTCACTGCTTTACTTCTGATCAAGGCTTTGCACTGGATGGCGCAAAAGAGGGTTGAGTACATCGAAACAACCCCAACTGTTACTAAGCTGTCGCACTTCCGCATTGTATCTTTCATGGGATTCCTTCTCCTTATTGACGTTAGCTTTATGTACAAATCAATCAAGTATTTGCTAGACACCAGAACTGCTTCCGTTTCACTCTTCTTTTCATTCGAGTAAGTTTCTCCGACTTCCAATCATCTATTTTATTACTGGAATATTTTTCCCGAAGTGCTTATTCTGGTAACTTCTTTGTCATTTCAGATACATGATATTGGCCACAACAACTATAGCAACATTTGTGAAGTACATATTCTACGTTAGCGACATGCTAATGGAAGGTCAATGGGAAAGAAAAGCTGTCTATACCTTTTATTTGGAGCTTATCCGTGACTTACTCCACTTGACTATGTATATGTGTTTCTTCCTCGTCATTTTTGTGTAAGCAATCTTTCAAAATTCTCCTGCATGGATTGGGATTTGGGGTATATAAATTTGAAGGTCAATATTACCATGTATAAAATGTTAATATCGCTGTTGAGTCGCGACAGATCGTGTTAATTGTTCTCTGCTCCAATACATCACTATAATATAGTATATGCTTGGCTAATAAGTATTTAAGTAAATGCGTCGCCCATTCATAGTCTGATTCCCCAGTCTACTTCAATAATTTTGCTGATGATCATACCGTATTCACTTGTTCTCGTTCCAGTATCACTTCAAAAGGTTCTTGTGTGACATTATATTATTTGCTCTTTTCTCTCCCCAGGAACTATGGTGTGCCTCTTCACTTGATCCGTGAGCTCTATGAGACGTTCAGGAACTTTAAAATCCGTATTGCCGATTACATACGTTATCGCAAGATCACTTCAAACATGAATGATCGTTTCCCAGATGCTACTCCCGAAGAGCTCGATACGTAAGTAACTTTTGCTCAATGGAAATAAGTAGTGGCTTCTATTGATAACTCTAATTGACATTTTTTTAATTGTCGTAAAACCATGCAGAAGCGATGTAACGTGCATTATATGCCGAGAGGAGATGACTACGGCAAAGAAACTTATTTGTGGGCATCTTTTTCATGTCCACTGCCTCAGATCGTGGTTAGAAAGACAAAATACATGTCCTACATGCAGAGCGCTTGTTGTACCACCTGAAAATGGGACATCAACTACTGGATTAAGGGCTGATGGTCCTCAGCAAGGTACGATTTTCTCTACTTTGCGTGATTGATCTTCTGTTGGCGTTTAGGGCCTGATACAAAAATAGAGTCCATTTTCGGTATTTCTCGGTGTGCAATTTTAAGTTCCATCAAGTTTGCTAATCTGGAATATATAATATCATCGTGAACTTTATTTATTGGTTTTGATTCATATTAAGGAACCCATTGTCAAACGAATAATTGTAATAATATTGTTGGTTTGACACAGGAACTACCGCTCCTAGTACATCTTCGCCAAGCTCCGCTGACAATAGTGCTTCAAATAATAATATCAGTCAGCATCAGATTAGACTCCAAGCTGCTGCAGCCGCTGCCGCCATATATGAGAAATCTTTTGTTTATCCTTCTCCAAGTACTCCCTCTGGGTATGTACTCTCTTCCACTATCTATACTTACATTTCCAGGCGTCTTTCGTGGGCTTTCTTGTTTTACAATGTTGTTACATTCTGGAAACTGCAAGATATATGGAAACTTACATGTTTACTTAGTCACGGGATTTCAGAGTTTCCTGTATCCTACAATTTGGGATTGTATGGTCCTTTATAGTTCGTAACAATTTTATTTTGGGAATATAGCACTTACATATAATTGGAAATTTATGTGTTTCTGCATTATAGGATGATGTCATCTCACTGATTCTGTTCTATTAGTTAAATAACTGTTAGAAAAAAATGCGATTCGAGGACTTCTTGAGGATGACAAACAACTATAGAATATATTTGTATATGGTCATCGTGTATGCAGGTGTTTTCATATGTTTTTATAATCATCTGATGCAAAGAACGGGGATAGCAATTAGCTATAAGCAGCATTAATTATCTGTGTTCTTGCAGATCACCCGGGTCTACCTTACATCCCGGAATGGCAAACAATGGTGGAAACTATGGGCAACTGAGGGCTCGCAATGTATCGGAACCTCAGCAGGATTTACAAGTCAAATTAATTCAGCACCAGATTGAGGTAATATAATTCCTTCGAAAAACTTATGATTGAACTTTTACCTTTCTTGCGTGTGATGTCTAAAAGGCTCAAATAAACCGGGAAGTTACACAACAAATATAATCAACAAGCACCAATAATAGTGACCACTAGTCCCTTAATTCTTTTCTTGCTTGTTTCGAGTTTTTGATATAGGCCATGCGACCATTTTTATTCGTAATAAATATTGACATATCTTACATTATTCAATTTATATCCGAATACGTTGGGCAGTTTCTGCAAAGGCAGCTTCAGCTTCTGCAAACATCAAACGGTGAGAAAAAGATGGATGTAGAAACGACACCCGATAACAAGGGAAAGACGGTAATACCCTCACCATCTTCATCTATTATAGACTCTAGTGAGACTCACAGTCCAGGGGCTACCGACTAAATACGAAGTTTTTGATTCGAGCGTCCTCGGAATTTATCATACTTTAAAGACTCTGTATTCGATGAAATGATGTATGTAAATTAAATCAAATGTACTACTTGTGTGTGTGAAGCCAGTCCCCAGTGTACTGCAGAATTGGGAGACCGCAATTTGAGGCTGTACTTAGATTTTTGAAACCCGAGTCATGAAGGAATATTCCTTAATCTTATATCTGTTTAGGACAATTTATTACTTTGTTTTGATGTTAATTATCAGTTTTCATTTACTTATTAATTAGTATATTAAAGACCCTATAATTAACGCATAAGATGACCAAAGAATATGTTAATAGTTGAGACAAAGAAACCACAGATATAATAATCCACACCAATCAATTTATATATTTAAGAAATTAGCAGTTCTGTGGGGCCCACAAAGTCAAGTTTGCAAAATCATTTTTTTGCAAAAAGGAAAAAGATGAAAGCTTCGCTCATTTTCCATGAAAAAGACTTGAGGTATAGTAGGGCCCACTCCAAGTTCACAATAACATGAAAACAATGGAGAAATTAAATATAATTAAATACTATTAACTGATTATTAGCAAACCTACTTTATCGGTCTAGGTTTAAGATTTATTCATTAATTTACTGATTTTGACATATGGACTACCTCTCAATAACTTCAATTTCAATCCGATCCAAGTTAATTAACAAAACACACACACACACCTACATCATTTTACTTTGGGTAAATTACAAACACCCCTGAGGTATGGTCAATTTACAAAAAAACCCCTCTTGTTTGGATAATTACATATAGCCCCCTCAACTATGATTTTTTCTTACACCTCCACCCTTATGGTGTCAAATTCAACATAGTCATCTAGATTCCGTGGAATGTGCTCCAGTTTGTACTCGTTTTGTGTAAAAATACAGTTTCCGATGCACCACAATCTGATATATACAAGCTAAAAAACACATATTAATATATTATGATCATCTTGCTTCATAATGTAGAGTTCGAATGGGATAAAACGGGTACAAAAGTGATAATATTCCATATAATCTCGAAGATTCCACTAAATTTGAGGAGTTGAGGGGGTGGTTGTAATTATCCAAACAAGAGGGGTGTTTTGTAATTTGACCATACCTCAGGAGGGTGTTTGTAATTTACCCTTTTATTTTTTATTTTATGTGAATATATATAAATATTAATTTACATTAATAATAAATAGAAGTAGGAAAATAGTCAGAATATTACAGTAGATTACTAGATTGGATACAGAGGTTGATCCGAAAAATGTTAAAAGGACAATTGTCCATCTGAGGGGTGTGTTTGTATTTTTATGGTAAGTAATAACTCATGGTTCAACTTGTTGCCAGTGCAGATTTCTTTATTTATTTTATTTATTTATTATTTTGCATGGATTCAACCCAAAATTCAAGATAAAAAAACCATGGACAATACCTGGTCCATCTATTTTTGGTTACCAAAGTACATTCCCATATATATATATATATATATATATATATATATTATGTGTTTTCTTAGGAAAATATTTTGGATTTTGTAAAAAAAAAATTAAAAAAACTGAAGAGTAAAAAAACAAGGTGTGCTCATATCTAATAATATATAAAGTGAGGGGTTTACTTGGCAATTGGGATGTTTTGGAGGGGTCTATATGTAATTAACCTAATAATACATGTGAGTTTGAATCTTTGAACAAATTCAAGTTTTTTGGTTAAACCCCTTACTGAAAATTGACCCCTTATAAAAAATTGGATTTTTAGACTTTTATTATTAATTTAGAATAATTAATATTTGAGGATTGGAGAAATTCTATCCAAATTACATTTAATATTCTATGGTTCTTAAGACACAGTCCAATTCTTTAGAATGAAAAAAAAAAAAGAAAAAAAAAATCAAGGTCAAATTACGGCCGTCACCCCTGAGGTAGGCTCATATTGCAAAATAATCCCTCATATTTGTATAATTACACCCATCTTCCCAACAATGCATTATCTTATATGTCTATTTTTGCGGTGTCAAATTTACCCACTGAAAGAGAGTTTTTTTCGTAAGACAATACATAATTGAAGGGATGGTTGTAATTATCAAAACATAAGAGATATTTCGTAATTTGAACTTACCACAGGAGTTGACCTTAGAAAAATCAATGAGAAATATATGTGAATTAGTAATAACCGAAGTTGGTACTATCAAATATCAATATTGAAAAATATTTGAAATGATTAATCATGACAGTAAAAGAATTGCCTAATTAAATCCAGTTGTATTATATTTTCAATACACCAAACAGATTAAATCCCAAATATTTGAAGTAATATTCGGATGTATTAATTTTGGTATTTCACAACCACAAAATTCAAATATTCAATGCTCCCACTATAAATTTTGCTAGAAAAAAGTTCTACAATTATGCCTCATTATTGCCGTAACAGTTCATTTGCTATTATTTATTTAATTTAAAAAAAATAATAAAAAAATGTTAATTTTTGATTTACAAGTCAATTTTGATGTAATTATTAACACACAAAATATATTTGAGTCTGTGGTATTTTGGTGTGACGCCACGTGGAAATTCTGAACCCGATCATGTTCATTCATTTATCCACCTGTGATTTCTGTACAGTACCATACAGTACCTCCTTCAAAAAAACAATTTAGACTTTCTCTGAAACAGACAGAGTAACACCCAATCAGATTTCATCAGGAGAATCAAATCACATCCCATTCTTGTAATTAAACCCCACTTCAGAGGTTAGATAAATAAATAAATAAATAAAATCTTCAACCCTAAAATAAAAAAAACAAATAATATTACAACAGGCAGTGGGTCCCACAGATTGTCCGACGCATGACAACAGCCAATTAGCACACCAATTTAAAAAATTGAAATCCGTATTAATGGCAAATTAAATACAAATTTAATCTAGAAAAAAGATTGCATCTTGGGTTTTGTTTTTGTATGTATAGTGTATGTATAATAATGTAAATACTTAGATTTCCGATACATACGATGATCATGAAACATTGGGGCTATATACTTGTATCTATATCTATATCTATATCTAATTATATATAGGTGGGCAGTTTTGTATTGCGGACATTAAATTTTATCATAAATATAATCTGTACAAAAAAGCAGGGGAGGTGGAGAGAATCTAGAAATTAAAATTAAAATAAAAAACATTTCTTTTTAATTTCCACAAAAAAAAAAAAAAAAAACCCAGAAAATTATATTAATGGTAGTGTGTGTGTTTTTCAAGTGTGTATGAGTGCGTGAGAGTTTTTTTTTATTTTTTTTTTAATTTTTAGAGAGAGAAAGAAAAAGGAGAGAATAAAAAGAGACCGGATGTTGACAAATTTGTATGTCACTGTTGTGAGAAGGTCGTTCGTTTGTGTGAAAGATTTCTTATCTGGGATCTCTCTCTTTCTCTCTCTAGCTTTCTCTCTCTTGAATTTATACATTATATTAAATACTAATTAGTGGAGTATAATACTACTATTAAATTAAATATTAAATAAATAAATATATACAGTTGGGAAAAGAAATTCTTTCCTTTTTATAATTTGTTTCCTCTCATTCTCTCTTCCTATGTTTTTACCTTTTTTTATTTTTTCTTTCTTCATCTAGAGAGAGAGAGGAGAGAGAGAGAGAGAGTGGCCCAGCAGATCGAAATCTCCAATCTGTAGTTTGATGAGGATCTGAGCTTCTTCAATGGAGTTGCCAAACCAAACACTTATTTGTTCCTTTGTTTCATTTCCCAATTATTAGCATCAGTTTTTTTTTGTTCTTTTAAAAAAAAAAAAAAAAGAAATTTCTCTCTCTTCTTTTTGTTGGCCTTTTGTTTTACTGGTTCAGTGTGAAACCCTCTGAAAGTTTTATTCCATGTTTTCTGGGGTTATTTAATTCCTCTATGATACTATTTTGGATGATTGAATTTAAATTCACCAAGGGTTCTTGAGGAACAGCTTGTTTCAGGATGTGGGTCTAAGGTAATAATCATCTTTTTTTATTTATTTATTTTTAATTAAAGATTTACTTGTGTTTGACTGTTACCCAGAAGAAGAAAATATTTAAATTGTGCTTGTTGATTGATCATATGATTGTTAGAGTCATAATTATTTTCCCAAATGTCTGCTGTTTTCATAGGCTGTAAGAACTGGATTTGTTCATTCGATTTTCCAGAATTAGTTGTTTATGAATTAGGATTTGGTATCTTATCGATGATATCTATAATGGGTAGTCGGTTTTTCGATTTTGTGATCATCGAAACAGGATCTGCTTTCTATGCATACTCATTTTCAAGAATATGCAACTTTTGTTTTCTTTGGTAGCATAATAGCATCAAGAATGTGTCCTGAATCGTAATTTCATTTGCTGAATTGGGTCCGTTTCGTATATAAACAACTACTCCTGGTTTTTATTCAATCCCCCTGGATTACAAATTCAAGATTCATCTGCACTCGAATAGTTGTTCTTAAGATATATTTGCAATTTTGGATTTGCATTTAATTTTGGAATGCGTTGGTCAATAGATGCAGGAATAAATTTTCGTATCTGCAGCATTACATGATTGTATAACTTGTACAAAAGGAAATAAATTTGAATTTCCTTCTGAGATTCACTAGATTTTCGAAATCCGAATCGACTCTGTGTGATCTGTGTTTCTAATTTTCTAACCACTATTCAATGCTTCATTAACTACTGGTTAATCAATAATCACATTGCATTTTTTCATAATAAAGAAAGTGATTAATTGCTCTGACCTGGAGATTCTCTTACATTACAAGAATTTTACATTTTATTGTGCTCGTTTTAAGATGTTGCGATAATCTCGAAATTGCTCACTGAACTCGCAGGAATGGGAACAAAAGTAGATTGCAAAAGCTACTTGCCTGGATTTTTCTCCATGAGAGACCTTAACGAAGATTCTAGCACTGACAGCTGGCCCTTATTTTACGCAAACAACAACAACACAATACAAAACGGACATTACCACAACAGTTATCCGAGCCACAATAAGGACACATTGAAGCAAAAAATGCTCGAACACGAGGCAGTTTTCAAGAACCAGGTACTTTATTTTATTTTTTTTAATTTTTTAATTTTTTTTATTATTATTACAATCGTCATCTTAAGACATCGATTTTGTCTCAATTTTATTTTACTGTCAACAGGTGCACGAAATGCACCGTCTTTACAGAATACAAAGGGACATGATGGAAGAAGTCAAAAGAAAACACAGAGCTTCAATGGAGCCAGCATCATCAACAAGTCTTCAAGAATCTCAAATTCCGTACGAAAATGCTCGAAAATGGCACATGGCTGGCTTTCCTTTGTCGGGTTCTGTAAAAAACAATACTCGAACATTTTCAGGAGTTAATAATTCGACCACAAAGGAATCTGAACCGTTCGATCCAAGACCATTGAAGGTGAGGAAGAAGCTATTCGATCTTCGACTTCCGGCCGATGGATATATAGACACCGAAGAAGAAACGGAGGAACCGAAGGAGTACAATACTAACGGTGGACCTGCGAGTAGTTCGAAATTATCCATCGGTGGTCGCTCGATCGGTTTTGCGGATCTAAACGAACCGGTTCAGATCGAAGAGCGAATAGCTCCATCGTGCGTTGATTTCCTCGGTTCTAATTCGGGTCGACCCGCTAATTCAAAAGCGGGTTATTTTGGTGTCACTCAAGAAACCGTAAATGCCCGTAACGGATTCTTGACAAATTCATCTGCCGAAAGTAAAGTTTGCGAGAGGGGACAGATGTCTTACATACACGAACGAGGTAAAGATTGTATTTTTTTGTTTTTGTGGTTGTATATATTAAGTTATTTGCGAGTGCTATAATTTTTCTCGACATTTTCAGGGTCAACTAGTGGCAATCTCAGTTCCGTAACACAAATTCGTCCTCCTGTAATATATCCGATGAGTGGTTACAACAGCAGAGAAGATCTGTGGAGAGAGAGGCTTCGGAATGGTCTAGAACCTTCCGATAGATTCCAGAATCACTCCAACAACCCTTTCTCTAATAACTCCTCTTGTTTTGCAACTTCGTGGGCGAAACCGACGAATAATTTTGCTCAAAAGGTGGTTACATTAGAAACACTTTCGACGAACAGAAACCACCAGCAGTATACTTCGAAGTTGAATCCGGGTTTTGGAAGTGAATCGACTTTGAATGGATTTTTCCATGCACCTGCGTCTGGATCGAAAGAACAACTTAATTGCAGTAGAGGTGATAATATTGTAGTGGCATCATCTAACGGCTCTAATTTTCGAAATGGTTCGATTCTCGCAAATTCGAAGCCCGCATTAGACATAAACTTGAATGAAGAAGTATTTCCAAAGAGCCCGTCAAATGAGATCGAGATTCTTCAGGATCTTAATACGACGGCGTTGCCGTGGCTTAAACCTAGGAGATTAGAACCTTCCAGAAAGTCCAGCAACCTTTGTGCTTCTTCTTCCAATCAATTTTCTTCCAAGAATGAAACGGGTAGAGATCTTAATCAACTCTTCGTCCCAAAAGTTACATCGGGAAGTGATTGTAAGAAAATTCTTGGATGTCGCGTGTTCGAAAGAGATGCACGAGATGATGAGCTGTCACCCATTGCTTCCACCTCAGCGAAACCTCAAAGAAAGAACGGTATGATCGATATTAATGTAGCGTGTGAGCCAGATGAGGATGAGATTATAGCTGCTGCTGCTGTAGAACTGGTGGCTCTGGAGAAAGAAAAGGAAAAGCCGAAAAACGGGGATTCGATACGAGACTACATTGACCTAAACTCGTGTGTTAGTGACTGTGAAGAAGAATCTCCATCGCTCGGTTACGAGAAACGAAAGATTGCATTGGAGATAGATCTTGAAGTTCCTTTCCTTATGGAGAGCGAGGATGACGATTTTCATAGTACACTGTCCAAAGAAAACATACCCGACAAAGAATCCTTAAAACCCGTAATAGACCACCAAACCGAACAAACAGTGGACGAAGTTCTTACAACTGCGGCAGAAACAATGATTGCAATCTCCTCTTCATGTCCACAAATCCAAACACCCGATGAAGCTTCCTTATCAGAAGCACTCCTATGGCTTGCCAATTCTCTCTCTTCTCAACATGCGAACGAGTGTGAGATGATGACAGCTGGCAAAGAATCGCCCCAGATGGATGAATTCGAGGCTATGGTACTGGAAATAGCAGAAATGAAAGAAGAGGACTACATGCCTAAGCCCTTTGTACTTCTAGAACTCGTAGAAACGGGGCCCGCTGCTTTACCAACGAGGCCTAGAAGGGGTAATGCTAGGAGGGGAAGGCAGAAACGGGATTTCCAAAGGGATATTCTTCCAGGTTTGGTATCTTTATCGAGGCACGAGGTGACTGAGGATTTTCAGACGTTCGGGGGGTTGATGAGAGCAACTGGCCATTCTTGGACGAGGAGAAACGGGGCTGCCCGGGGCAGGAAACGGGCAGTAGTGGAAACTGCCCGGGCAGCGGTGGAAACTACCCCTGTGGGCCCCGTTGTAATTGCACCGTTGGAGGATAGAAGTTTAACAGGGTGGGGGAAGACTACTAGGCGACCTCGGAGACAGAGATGTCCCGCGGGTAATAGTAATAATACTCCTGCTGTGGCGTTTGCGTAATAAAGGAGGCATCGATTTCTTTTTTTTTTTTTTTTTTTTTTTTCTAATAGAGAAATTGCGCGACATTTCGAAAGCTTGTTTTTTACGAGTTTTTGAATAGTAGAAGGAATGGTTATTTGTGTGTGTAAATGGCGTTGGCGAAAACTTGAATTGTTTAGAAATAATGTCAGTTTGATTTGGTCATGATATGATATATATACACACAGATCATTGTTTTGAATACGATTGTTTCAATTGTTGATTTACATATAATTATAAATTTGAAAATTTTAAATTGCAAATATTAATGTTATAAATTATAAGTTCATTTATATATGTTATATATATATTACAAAAAAATAATATGAATTACTAATTAATGAAATATGCTTTAATAAATTATAAAATGATAAAAATTATAAGAACATGCTTCATTATAGAAATTCAAACTGTATTTTACCCAAAATAAATTTCCACTTGTGGGCTTCAAGTTTTGGGCTAAGTGTTTGTTTGGGCCCCATCGTTTAGTGGGCCCACATCCTAGAATTGTTTACTAGAAAAGGACACGTGTACGACTAGATTACCTGGACAAAATAGTTAGCAGCAGCCAGACTGTTTCATAATTCCACCCATAAAGAAAAAAACATTTATTAGAATAAACATAAATAAACAATAATTCTTCGTAACCAAAATGAATTGAAAAAATAGAAAAAAGGACCTAAATGAATTGGAAAAATAGGAAAGGGACTTTAGATGAAAATAGAATTGGATATGCTTTTATACAATATATATCTACAGCCGCTGATAGACATATTTTGTTCTTGGATCAACAATAACGCCCTTCCCTCCGTTCACCTCTAAATCATGCCTGCACCAATTTTAATGATTTTTCCATCATGAAAATTGTTGGGATAAAATGTGATTGATTAATTAAAACTAATGGAAACTCACTGAAACACGAAATCCGGAATAGTCAGTTGTTCACGAGGGACATATTTGAATAGCTGCAGAAGGCGATCGACATAGACAACCTTCTTCCAAACCTGATAATCAATCAGTTTTCCGATTTCTTTAGCTCTTCCCATAAAAGAAAGAAAAAAAAAGGAAAAATCGTAAAATTTAGATGAAATGAGGCATACCACATTATCTATAAATAACTGCATTGCAAATATTGCAGCTTTCAGACCAAACGTTGGATGGAGAACATATATTGCCTACACCATAAAAGCAAATTTCAATAAACGAGAACTAAGAGAGTGTGTGTGTGTGTGTGTGTGCGCGCGTGTATATACATAAGAGCCTCTAAAAGCGAGAAATGAGAATAGACGTACATGAAGATTACGCTGGTGTTTCCGACCAAGTATTTGTTCGACTCTTTTCATCCACCCCATATCTGGTTGTCTGTTGAATCACAAGTATTTAGAAGTCAGCCAAACTCAAGAATTTTGCTTCTCGTTATATACCTTAACAACCTCGATAGATCGAGGACTGAGGAGTCGTACTCTAAAAAGGGTAAATTACAAAAACTACCCTCGAGCTTTTTAATAATTAACAAAAAGAACTAGTTACGTTTGTAAATGACAAGTAACCCCTTCACATTTGTTTTAATTTTGCAAATTTCTCATACTAACAGAAATAAGAAATACTTTAAAGATATACAATATACTGTCAAGGAGAAAATACGCACATCTGCAATGATGCTGCCGAATGGAGATAAACTATTGAGTAAGGCTTCTGTATCAAGGGCTCAAACTCCTGAAAAAAAATACTTAAATGATAATTATCCACCTCAGTAAGGGCAAACAAGCAGCTGGAAAGGCCATCGTAGTTAACCATTTAACATGATCCATAAACCCATGTAAGTACTGAATTTATAACTGAAAACGGCAATAATTATTCACCTTCACAACGTATAGCACAAACCGCTCTAGGTCAAGACATCTGAGGAGAAAATGTGCTCCAACCACCACCATTACTGGACGACCTTCACTGTCCACCCCACCTCGGTAGCTGAAATAAAGACAAGAGTATGCGTTACGATTCTGAACTTCATACAGTTAGGCCTCGTACGATCAAATAATCAAATGAAAATCCAATTGTTTTGTTGGACCATAGAAGGTCCAATAAAAAAGCTCCCTAACAAGCAAGATAAGACACGATAACATAATATTTCCGGGTCAACCTGGGAAATTATTGTGTTTACCAAACATCAAACAAAGTCCAATTATTTAGTATATCACAAACTATCAAGTTCAAGCAGCTTACACAATTTTCATTTCAGCGATGTCGGAAAGATTAAGTGAATTTGCTTTAGCAAGATATCTAGAATGGATGGAATATTCTTCAGCAGCGGATAAAGGAGGACTGCCAAGGTCACCATATCCAAACATTTTAGCAACATTCCAACCATTTCGTGCCTGAGCAGTTTTCTCCCATTGTTCTCTACGTCTCTCATCTGGATCTTTGATCAAGGACATAAAAGCAGGATCTAGATATGAATCCAAGTATGACGAGTTCCTATTTAAAAATAAATAAAAAATAAATAAATGCCTACATTCCATGAGTCCATAATGCCAAAAAAATCTAAGAAAGAAAACCACCCACATTAGTTATTTTACCAGACAAGAAAGACAACCATATGCTCGTAAGGAAGTACTCTGGTAACTGAAAGCGGTTTATCTACTGCCATGTGACCTCATTTTTTGAATATCTTTTAGACCGTAAAGCAACTTAGTTTAGGTCAAAACCCTAAAGCATCAATTGGATAATTGCATATACAAAAGGTCAGGGAAAAGTATTTGAGTCACTAACCGTCTTGCCGATGCAACGTCGCTCACTGAAAGATCAGTAGAGGTTTGGGGAGCTCTAGGAATATTCTTCTTCAAATTGGGTAAAGGCTTTATTCTGATTTTACGTTCATCTATGACTGTCTCGCCATTTTCATCTCCAACATCAGCCGGAAGTTTTGAAATAGCTACCTCCTCCTCAAGTTTATCCCGTGGAAAGTAAAGCGGAAGCAATCTACAATAGGAAATATTAATGACAAATTGAAGAGCAAAAAAATCTATTCGTAACAAAAAGTACATTTCATCAGTTAGACAGGACACGCAGATTGCTAGATTAACTAGATAGTACACTTCCAGTTAACACACCTTTTATATATCTCTGTATCCGTTGTTGTTGTAGTGCAAAATACGACTGCATGTATTTTATCCTTCTGTTTCTCAAGAAATCGTCTCACAGTTCCTAACCAAATAACATAAATCCGAATTTCAAGGCAAGGAATGGAGGAAGGAAACAGAATAGTGAAGCATGTTCAAAAACGTGAAATATATGAAGAAATTCATAAAATATAACTTATAGATCATGAATGAAATCTACGTAAAAAAATGCACCTCGACTTCTTATTTAGATACAAAACACACACCAACAGACAAAACATGGTAAGGAAATTGCTTACTTATTGCCACGTGCGCAGCTGGTTCTCGTGGATAATTTTTGGCTTCTGTATATATACAACCCATGGCAATGCTGCATTCACATTAATAAAGAACTCAATCCCAGTATTTTAAGAATAATCCATGACACAAGGAAGAATAAATAACTGGATTCAATGCCTGATTATTGAACCACCTCTGCAATCCATTTTCAATGAGAAGTTCAAGGCAAGATCTGTAGCAATGACTAAGAGCATTCTCTGCAGCCGTATGATATTTTACAGCATACTTAGGACCAACAGTATGAACAACCCTCCTGCAAATTACAAGAAACTTCCATATTGAGTAAAATTAGTTATTAAATATAAGTTTGCAATGTCTACACTAAAAAATTACAGAGACCCTGAAATAATTTTATTCAAATCTATAAAGAGGCGTTATTGCCATCTTTGATCATTAATTTATTGGAAATATTTCGAAACATGACAGGTGGTTCAGTAAGCTAATTAATACAGAGTTAAATACATGAATTTAAAAAATATTCCAAATAAATACAACAAAAGATTGTAACAAACTGATTAGAACTAAAAACAGCATAAAGTCTAGTCGAACGATTTTGGCATAGTCACCTTGCTGGAAGGTCATAACCCTTGGTAACTTTTGCCATCCCTGTTCGGCAGCCACCCTGTAAGCGTTAAACATCCATAGTTACGTGCAAGTAATAAAGGTGTAACATTTCAGGATAAAGTTCTTCATGAGAATGTAATCTTCAGAATCTAACAGAAGTAGTTGCATGTTTTTTTATACCAAAATCCATATAACTGGTTAGACCATTCATAGAGCACATTGTGGATGAACGATTTAATTATGAGTACGTAGTTATATTACCAATGTAGAACATTCTTCTGCAAGACCAGGGCCTGCGGCAGCATGCAAACCAGGGCTACTGTGTGCTTCATCTAAGTTCTGCCAACCAAACAAATAATATTTAATTTTTCGGAAAAAATGCAGCCACTTCTGGTTAGGCAGGGAATACGCTACTAAGATTAAGTATCATAGAAATGCAGAGAAAATCACTACACCGTACAAGCCCAACATTAACATCATAAGAAAAGCCAACAGTCAACAAATCAGTTATCTCATCACTTCTCACGAAGATAAGTATGCAAATAAGAAAGCCAGAACCATCATGCGATTACATTTCCTGTAGATAAAAGCAATACTCTCCATAACAATAAACGAACTACGCACCTCGTTTGTTGAATTTACTACAGCATCCACCTCAAGATTCCACGGGTCTCCCCTCCAAAGATATATCTTCGAGTTAATTTCGTGATCAATGGGAAACCGAGACACCATCCCATTTCCACTATTCTCTCCATCAGATGCAGGTGTTAAAGGGTCCGGAAAATACGGATTCTGGAAAGCCGAATCATCATTCTCGTACGAGTATCTAAACTCCGAATCACTCCAACGTGGCACTTGATCAAGAGTCACAGCAGAATACCCACTATCTGTTGGTAATCCACCTCGATTAGTGGTTGCAGCCCCAGACGCATACATCATAATTAAGGACCCCTAATCAAATCTTCACCCCCTTCACCTTCTCTCTAACATTAAACCCACCTCCTTTATTAGCTATTACCAACTGGCTCAACTCTGAAGGAAAAATATTGAAACCTCAATTTCAACAATGCCCAACACAATGTTGCTAACTTAAATCCCCTGATGCAAAAGAAAAATAATAATATCAAAGTGTTGATGAAGTGAACTATTTTTTTTTTCCGGTGAACTTTGAATCAAACGAAACGTCACATATGTCAAACAAAATCGAAATATCTCATAGAATTGAAGAGTCAATCAGAATCATCTGAGCTTCAGAAGCGCTCGCATCGCTTCCAGACTGGCCGCAATCAAATCATTCCAGAATTATCACAAATTCAAAATTTATCTCGTTGCAAACAAATTAACGTCAGAAAATTAAAAAAAATACAAGTATAGAAAGCAAAAGGAGGACATGAATTCTTCATATTTACGCTCAAATACTCATCCATGAATCCCTAAAAAATCAAAATACCTTCAAAATCGTGATAACTGGAGCGCCTTCTGAGATTTGAGAAGATGGAATCTGGGGAAGATATTCGATGGTGTCCAGCGTCTGGGTCTGCGGTGGAATTTCTGATTTTTTTTTTTTTTTTTTAATCTGATCGTAATTTGTCAGATTTTGTTTTTATTGTCCAAATGCCCCTTGAATTTCAAATTTATTTTATTTACAACCCATTAAAAAAATTTAATTATATAATGATTTCTTCAATCATTGGTACATGTAAGACTGTGATTGGTGCTAAAGCACAACTTAAGAGGAACACTTGATTTATTTAGTAGTACTACTTACGTATTAATTAAAACAATGATTATTTAATTTTAAAGTCAATTTCAAACATAAATTGGTTATTACATAACCAAATTGAGACTATACTCAAACAATTAGTCAAAATGGCGCCAATATTTCACAATTAAACTGCCATTCATCTGTTTTATCAATCAGCAAAATGCCCATTAGATCTCAAAATAAGGTTGGGTCATAATTCACAGTTAGAAAACCTACGATTTGTCGCTGTAATTTCGACAAAGAGAGTCATTTCGACTAAGCATTCGAGACTGTTTACACCTCATGAAAAAGTAACCAAATATTATAAAAAAAAATTAAACAAAAAAAATTAATACAACTCCGGTCATTATTTTCAGTCTTCGAGCATAGCCTTGGCAGCATCAACTAAAAGGAGGCGTAGGTCGTGAGATGCTCGTGCAAGAACGGTATATTCTTCTTTGTCTTTAGAATCCACATCAGCTCCATGTCTTATAAGGAGGAGAGCTACCTGCAAACTCAGTAGAGTTAGGATTCATAGCAGCAAATTTCTGATACTATGAACTCACTGAGTTAATCATATCTTCCCTTTAAGCCCAGTAGAGTTAGGATTCATAGCAGCAAATTTCTGATACTATGAACTCACTGAGTTAATCATATCTTCCCTTTAAGCCCAAAATAATTTTCGAGAGCAACTTATTTATTTATTATTTTTATAAAAAATATTACATCGTAAAACTTCCCACAAAATTTACCTCTTTGTTATCACATATTACTGCAGTCATAAGAGGGGTTTGCCCTGCTTTATCAACATCATCAACTTCTGCTCCTTCCTCGATCAAGAATTCGCACAATTCTGCGTTCCCAGTGCTTGCTGCACGGTGCAATGGGGTGCAACCAACCTGCATAAAGTGTCATTGAGCAGCCATTGAACAATCATAGATTCCGAAATGTACTTAAAAATAATTCAATGTCATCAAATAAAATGACATGAATAGCAAAAAGAAGTTACGAGCCTTGTCCTTGACATTGAGCTTTGCACCGTGTGAAACCAAAATTTCAGCTAGTTTCAGCCGACCTTTGCTAGCAGCATAATGAAGAGCTGTGCGGCCACCATCGTTTTTCAAATTTACATCAGCTCCTGTTCAAAATGAATTTCTAACTTCTTGATTAGAGATCGTTCACAAATATGTCAATAACAGCACGGAGTTATTGCAGAATCAATACAAAACATGTGGTTGTTGACATTAAAAGGGAGATCTCATGGGATTGGGGCAACTCTCTATACATAACATATGCTTAGATCATAAGAACAAGCTTTAAACAATAAATGAAGAATCCAAAGTGGAGATGGAAAATCAAGATGGTTTTCAATGTGCCTTCGCCTAATTTAATTTCTAAAGAAAAGTGGATTTCTATAAAATATTATTAAAAAAAATCCTTGCGCTTCGTTTTATCCAAGAGGCAAGACCATTTGATTCTTCAAATGCATTTATGAACGTTCAAGGAAGTAAGATTCTAACATCGATAAGGAAAAATATAAACGAAGAAACAAACTGCAGCATCTACAAGTAAGACAGATATAAGTATTCTCATGCGTTTCTTGAATCTTTCCTCTTAATCATCCATGTCCATTTTGCCTTAATATGTCATAAAAGAAAAAAAAAACTCTTCACGTGGAAATGCTTCTTCAAGAACAACAGTAATTCCACAGAAAATATTACACACACTGACCTCTATTAAGTAAAATCTTCACAATCTCAAGATTGCCACTGCTTGCAGCAGAGTGCAGAGGTGACCATCCCTCTTCATCAGAACTGTTTACGACTGATGGGCTTGCAGCTGATAGTATTTCCACCAGCTAGTCCATCCACAAATAAAAGCCCCACATAAAAAAGGAAACGAAGTTATCTACATGTAGTTGAACTAAATGAAAAACGAACACACAACAACATAAAGCTGAAACAGCTAATGGCAATTACTGACATTAGGATCAATAACACGTTGTTTCTAAAACAATTCCCGATTGCTGTCTCCGAAGTGGCATTAGACATTACGCAACACCAATTCCCAATTGTTGCATCTAAAGAATTTTAGCAATGTGTTTCTAAACTATCCAACCAAATATTTTAATGCCACGTAATTGAAATGTTTGCCCTAAATCCCAAGCCATCTTCTAAGCCACCAAACACTGAAAAAATTAAATAATAATAAACCAGAGCCTTCGTGTGGTTTTTAGCTAACAGTTACTTAAGGAAATTGCTAACAATCAGGGCATATTATTTCAAATTAGGTTTCAACGAAACAGATGTACTACATCCGAATTCTTCACCGAGAGGTCAATAGCTAGTAAGTAAAAAATTACAGAGAGAAATTTTACATAATTGAATCGGCAATTTTTTACAGTAATACACCAACAATGAAAATTAAAATTTAATACGATCAAATTGCTAAAAAATTCACTGAGAAGCAAATCTGAACTATGACTCGAACCTCGGTCCGGGAGGAGGAGACGGCGACGTGGATTAGAGAACGGCCGTCTTCGTTGCGGAGGGAGCTGGCTTTGAGGAGTTGCTCCTCGGAGAGCGATTCGAAAACCGATGAATCGCCGGACTCCGCCGCCGTGAATAGGTCCTTTTCTTTGATTGCTCTAGCTGGTTCGCCGTCGATTTCCATGTCTACGGCTACTGCCGATGGTTCGAGGACTACTGTGTGTTGTGTGTTTTTCCTTGGTGGGGGTTTTTACCTTTTCAGTCGCGAAGGTGTTGGATTATATGTAATTTACCTATAAAACCTTTTATATTTAATAAAATTAAAATATAGTGTAATGGATAGTATAGTCTTTTACTTGGTTAATATTTCAATAAAATAATAATATTTAATAAAGAACTTTTATTTAAGCAGCGCGTTTTAATTAGTAGTAGTAGCATGTCAAACATATTAAACGAAGCTTAATTGTATAATTTTCATACCAACAAAAAAAAAAAAAAAACAAAGCATATTCCAATAAATATTCACAGTAAAATAAGTAAAGAATACAAATTTCGAATCAACAAGAACAAACAAGTGAATCTCAAAGGGGTGACCTGGGAACACAAGTGCAACGTCGAATTTCTTATTCAATCCACTTGTGCTCACAGTTTCACTCCTACGAGATTGCCATTGTTACTTGAAAATTGAAATCGATCACAAAGTGGTTGCAGTTTGTGTTTCCATTCTTTCCAATTTATAGTACTTGGTTTGAGAAATAAAATATAAAATAAAGAAAAAGAAAAAAGGATAAGGTCATTATGTTGTCATTCTATCGACATAATTTTAGAAGATTTTGTCATTCAGAAAGTCACGGATATTTGTACAATATGGTTTAGTTACCAGTTTCCCTAGTCATGTGATTTCAAGTTATTACATAGAATCTTCAATAATGTTTGATTCAATACCCAACAGGATTAATTATTTTAATCTTATTCTAATAAAATTTGCACAGGTTTAATTTGATATCCAATAAAATAATTGGGCTTTAAGAGTAAAGGGCCTTTGTAATAAGAGATATTGCACCAATAAATTTGTATGACACAGGCCCAGTAGAAATAACTAAGCATTTTACAAAGACAGGCCCAATTCGTTTTGAACTTTAATTTTTCTTTGGGTAAATTATGACTACCCCTGAAGTAAGATCAAATTACGAGAAAACCCCTTATGTTTGGATAATTGCAACCTCACCCCTCAATTATTAGTCTTCTTACACGTCCCACCCATATAGTGTCAGAATCATCTAGATTAAGTGGAATGTTATCTAGTTTGTATTCGTTTAGTGCAAAAATGTAGTCTTTGATGTACCACAATCTGACATTTACAAGCCAAAAGACAAATTTTATGATCATCTTGTTTCAAAATATGGTGTTGGAATGGGGTAAAACAGGTACAAACTGGAGAATATCCCACATAATCTAGAAGATTTCACTAAATTTGACACCGCAAGAATAGACGTGTAAGAAGATTCATAGTTGATGGTGGTTGTAATTACCCAAGCATGAATATTTCTTTTCGTAATTTGAGCTTACTACTGGGACCCTAATTGATATCCAAAAACATAAGTGGGCAACAAAGTAAAGGGCTTCTGTAAAAAGGGCTATTCCACCAATAAATTTGTACGACACAGGCCCATTAAAAATAACTAAGCATTTTACAAAGACAGGCCCAATTCATTTTGCATTTCAAATTTTCTTTTAATCTCAAGTATTTTTATTTTTTCAATAATATAAATACAGCCTACAATATAATACAAGTTGAGGCAACCAACCAACTAGACGCGCTTTCGAACAACTAACCAGCCGACACCATTAACTACCGAGTCTGAAATAATTAAAGCGTCCGCGCGCGTGTGTTTGTGGGTCTAATAAATTCAAAACAGGACTTTCTCCCAATCGCGTGCCAAACACGTATTTAACTGATTTGATCCCCTTCTATTTATCCGTTGACATTTCTTTTCCATTTTTCTCCACACAAAATCAGCTCCTTCAACTAAAAATTTCTTCTTTTTTCTGCAACTTTTTTTTTTCTTAAACAAACAAACAAAAAATGGATTTCTTAGCTAATCTCTCCAAGAAAGACGAAGATCACAAGAAAACGAAGCCCGTTTCGCAGGATCCGAACACCACCGGCCACAACCGGAAGCCCTCCAAATCCGATCTCATCCACAGCGCCAAGGTGGTTACCGACGCCGCCCAGTCCCACTTCCGCCGCGATCCGGAGAAGTACGACAAGGGTCAACTCGCCGGCGCCACCGCTGACCTCCTCAGCGCCGCCTCCGACTTAGGCAAGCTAAACGATACTGACGGCATCGGAAAGTATGTCGACAAGGCCGAGGGCTACCTCCGCCACTACAGCAGTTCCCACTCCCCCGCCCACCCCGGTAAGACCGGCGACCACCAAACCACCAGCTCCGGCGGCGGCGGTAAGAAGCCCTCTCACGGCGACGGTGGAGATCACTACAGTGACGGCGGTAAGAAGCCCTCTCACGGCGGCGAAGGCCTTGGCTCAGGTGATTTCCTGAAAATGGCTGGTAATTTCTTGAAGAAATAGGCCATATATATATATATATATATATATATATATATATATATATATATATATATATATATATATATATATATATATATATGATTTCTTGAAGAAAATGGCAGTGTGTAATGTTTGAGTTTCGATTTACTAAATTCGTGTTAATTAAACTAGATCCCTTAATTGTAATCCATAATATCATTTGTTTCGTTTAGCTTGTTTCGAATTTATAACTTAACTTAATTAATTTGTAAGTTGATTATCTCACTGCATTTACAATTTACACACAAATTTGTTCTTAATCAAAGAAAGTATATATATATATATATATATATATTCAATGGTGGATAATATATATTCAAAAGCATAAGCATGTTGGTGGAATTTTTCCGGTTAATTTGATTTTATTGGCTTTCTCTTTCGCTTTGAGCTCCTCGTTTCTTCGATTCTCCTCTGCTTGTGCCCGAGCTCCGCCCGCTACTTCTTCGATTCTTTTCGTCTTTTCGCGATGACTCTGCACAGCTTTCGCTCTCCTCTTCTTCAATTTATTCTGCAAAAAAAAAAAAGTAATCTTGATTGTGAAATTATGAATTAAGTTTTTATTTATAGTACTGCTTGGAATTTAGATTAAATAACCTCGATATTTTCGATTTCACGATCGACATTTTTCTTCTTCTTGATCTCCCAATTTTCGACCGTGGCCTTCATTCTCTCGTCGCGGTGGCTCTGCACAGCTTTTGCAAATGTCTTTTCCAATTTAGCCTGTAATAATTTTATTTTTTTTGATTTCTTATATATATAGATATATATATTCTTGATATATAATATTTCATTTGAAAATCGAAAATTAACCTTTGTGTTTTCTAGTTTGTGATCTGCCTTTTTCTTCTTTTTCATCTCCCAGTTATCGATTATAGCTATCAGCCGCAAATGCCTGTAAAATTTCTTCCATATTGGCACATTAATACATTAATATTGAAAACTAATTACGGTTAATCTTTGTTACCGTTCTTGAATGCTCGCCATTTCTTCTTTTTCCCAAGCATCTGCCATAGAAATTTCAGGTCCAGTTTTTGCAATTTCGCTTTCGACCATGTACAGATGCTTATCTGCAAAAGTTGAAGGCCTTTTCATAGGCGGGGCCCGCTCGTCCGCCTTCTCGACCGCTGCATTATTATTATTACTATTTCCGGATTTATTGCTATCGGTTTCATCACTATCGGAAGAAGAAGAACTTGTACTGTCCTTGATGGATGGTTCTGGTGCGGACCCCACTGCATTCTGATCGGGCATCTCTTCACTCGCTCGCGCTTCGATTTCATGATTCTCAAAACTTTTTCTCGGAGTTTCATCTGAGATAATTAATTAATTAGTATATATATGTTTTTATTCATTGATGCAAAAGTGAAAAAGTAAAAAAAAATTAAACTTACCTGATAACACTCCTTTATGGAGTTGAGGTAAAATCCAAGAAACTTCAGTTTTGGTCCTTGTTTCGTTCAAGGGCTTATCAGGGCCGTTGATTTTTTTGTTTTGATCCAACGGTTCTGATTCGTCGAGCGAATGAATGGCATAACCAGCTGCTGCAACTGCTGCAGGGTAATCTTCATCACTGGATTCATAATCCCAACTCATTTTTTTCCTCTTTTTTCGTTTTCGAGATTTTACCTTGTTTTGTCAATGCTTTTGTATTCGAATGGTTTCGGGATTATTCGTAGGATAAGCATCGGAAGAAGGATAACTTTATCAGGTTTACAATTGGCTATGAACTTGGTTTTGGAGACAAGCAAGCAATCTAGAATATTCTTTTGCAGCAATTACTGCTTTTGCATCTTTTTAAAAAAAATAACCTGAATAGAAAGCATACTTTTCTTCTTCTTGTTGTTCACTTTTTATTGCTATAATTATATTTATTAAAGTTTAATAATTATAATTTATTAGAAAAATATATAAAACTTGTAATTAAGCACAAGCTGGGGCTTTAAAGCCTTTCAAAGTGGCGAAAACTATCGAATCGGGCCCCACTTTAATAGGCGATACAGAATCGACTAGCTGTGGATTCATCGCGGGTATATCGAAAGATTCCGTAAGCTTCAACGGGGTTCCGTTTAGCAGTAAAACATCACTTAGAATATTTCCATCTTTAGGGGTAAGATGGTATTCTTCTCTCTGATTTAAATTTGTGTATTCTTGATTGTACAAGTTGGTCTCATCCACTACTGATACTTCAAAGGTTGTTGAGTTTGACATGTTGATCATAAGTAGTGAAATGCCAGCCTGGTAAATTAAATTAAAACAGCAAGAAAAACCAACCTTGATTATAAATTAATTAATGTTTGTTTATGCCTGCTAATTTGATTAATTGAGTAATAATGTATATTATGTATGTTTTTGCTGCTTACTGATTTCTTTGAGCAATGAGAATATACTCTCAAGTAGGGGGAGCCTTTGTGGGAGGTGAAAAGGACGTTTTTGCCCATCAACCGATGCCATAAGAGTGCTCTGTAAAACTTAGACGGATCGGAATTAGCAATTTCTTGAAAATACAGATTTTTTTTTCGAAATCGAAAAACTAATTCCAACTCTGTTCTGGAAAAAAAAATTGGAAATTGGAAATTCTAAAAATCGGATTTTTTAATCGAAATCGTCGGAATTCGGATAATTCCAACTTTTTAGTCACCTAAAATACAAAATACACAATATCGATATTATAAGTGTAAAATTTGGAAAAATAGGAATGTTCGAAAATTGAAATCGGAATCACATATTTTATTCCAATCCCAGTCCAAATATTTTCGAAAAAAAATCGGGACGAAAAATATTGTTCCAAAATTGGAAAATTTCGGATCGGAATCGGCGGAAATTGGAAATCCCGTTCCAATTTCCACCCGTAAACATAACTCACTTAAACAAATTTGTACTTAAAATGGATAATACTAACCCATAGTAATCTGGATTAGGGATGAATGTGGTTGTGTTGAGCAAACCATAGTTTCCTCCAACTAATGCTTGTCTGCAGAAAACCTTATGGTTGAATGCTGATGTCATCCCCAACTGATCCAAGTACCTATTTCATTATTATTCCATAATTTAAAAAAAAATTAAAAAATAATAATAAAAACTTAAAAAAATTGAATTTTTGTAATAAAAGGGTAAAAAGAAAAACCAGAAGCCATCAACAAAGGCATGTGAAACATCTTTGCCACCACTATTGTAGGCCCCACCAGCTTCCCCAACCCATGCTCTTGACCATGGTCCATACATCTTTATACTGCTTGAAATATCTTTATACACCTCAGCTATTTGATCAAGAAAATTTGGATCTTGAATCTTGTTTATTAGTGTTGGATCCACACCTAAAACACACACACACATACACACACACAACTTATGACAAACATTCTTGAAAATCCAGTTTATTATAGTGTGTGTGTTCAAAGTATTACCTGCACCAAGGTTGTAAATATGGTGAGTCAAACCATCAACGACATTTGGTCCGGAAACCCGAAGAAAAGTGTCGAACCATTGCTTATCGTAAAAACCGGCCGGTCCTAAAATCTTCGGTTGTGTATTAGGGTTAGGGTACAATTCTTGAACTAGTTTCTTTAGCACAATCATATCTTTTCCATATTGCTCTGCCTCTATTCTTGCAGCTACTCCACTTCCACATAGCTCATTTCCTATACGAAAAAATCGACATTATTTTTTAAAATTGAAAATAATACATATACATATAATGAAAGGGTTGGATATGATATTACCAAGTTCATATGAATCAATCTTGTACCCTTTAGAGGCAGTGTACTTCATGAAATCGTGCGCGTTTTGTGGGTCCCATTTGCCTACCATAAGTGAATCGTTGGAGTTGAGCTTCTTCCTTCCCATTAGTGCATTCAATCCAAATGTTATTTTAGTCCTGCAAAAATAAAAAAAAATAATTAATCAATCACGAAATATAATCTATCCGATCACGGATAAAACTAAAAAAAGGAATGTACCCCGTTTGGTTGAAGAATTTGTTCATGACATCCCATCTCTCCATTTCAAGACAGCCTTTCGAAAATCCAAACAGGGCATTGTCTCTTCTTTTGAAATGAGGGCATTTCGGGAATGATTTTCCGACTTTGTACAGAACTTGATCCTGCAACGAACCCCCGATTCTGATCCGCAGAGAGCCGAATGCTGATTCAAAACAAGCCATTTTCTCATCGTAAATTAACTTAAAAACAAACTTAACATGAAACAACAATTTCACAATATTACAACACACCCAAAAAAAAAAAAAAAAAAAAAAAAAACAACCACCTTGACAGCATTTTCAAGAATCTTGTTCCGAAATCCTGCAACACAAGAAGATCAACAGATTTGTTCTATACATACATATTCTTACACACATCCACACGTATATACGTGTGTGATTATGTGTAAATCAAACGAACTTACGAGATTAGGAATGCCGGCATTTCCCCATGGGCACTGATTGTAGTTGCATTTAGTTTGAGGCCACCAATCCAAAGTAGCACATATGAAATTCTCATCAGTGCTAGCAATGGGGGCCGCCCCCTTCACTGCCACCTTCACTTCTTCTGCATAACAAAAACAAACAACTGACAGAAGAATTGAGAAAATCACAGCCCTTGATTCCATCTTCTTTTAATGTTTAAAGAAACATTCTGTAGGAATGTATAATTGATCCTGATCGTTGTAAAAAAGTGTTCTTTAATTATTAACTAAAATAAATAAAGTTGAATAAAGGGTTCACATTTATAATGCATGTGCTTCACTTTTTATATGTTGCCAATTATGACACACTTCACGATCTGAAACCCACACCAAACACTTATTGCTTTTGTCACTGGCTTGTGTTGTGTAACAGCTTTTTGGGCTATTTATTTTGCATACGTTGTTACTTAGGCTAAATTACGAAAAGCACCCCAAGGTAAAGTATTATTACGAAAATTCCGCTCATGTTTGTGTAATTACGAAAATCCACCTATGACCAGTGTTTGACCGCTAAAAATCACGAAAATGTGTTTGTCTGTTTACCCTTTGTTATTTGAAACAAATAGAGGGTAAATTACGAGAACCTCCTGAGGTGAGGTCTAATTACGAAAATACCCCTCATATTTGCTTCATCACGAAAATCCCCCGAGGTATGTTGTCGTCTTACACAACCCCATGTGGTGTTACTTTTGATAGAATCTTTTTGATTCGATAGAATATTTCTCTGAAAATGTCGTCTTTGCCTTTGGGTGTAACTGTAAGCATATTAATTACTTAGGGGTATATTGTAATTATGTGTATTTTAAGTTGTTATCATATATACTTTACACATCATACCCACACGCGCGCGTGTCTCTGTGTGTGTGAGAAATATGTGTAGATATATACAAAGAAAGCTCATGAATCTGCTCTGCTATGGCTATAAAGATCAGTAAAACATTGGAAAATCCCATGATTTACCTTTAAGACATTACATGTGTAAATGAGTCGAATCGAGCTAAATATTACGGGTGTAGAAGTATCGAATTGAGCCTAATTAAACACAAATCGAGCATCATTAGACGAGGAATCGAGGATCAATTATTACTGCAAAAATTATGTCTTTTTATATACAGTTCACAGAACTTTGAAGCCTAATTGCCCAAGGAGTGGCTGCTATTATGGTATGACAACAAACAAATACTAAAAAATAAATAAATGAATCACTACAAGTCAAATTCTTGACCGAGTCGATTGATTTGACTAAAACAAGAAGTCTGAATCGGAAAGTTCCAGAACTTTGTGGTAACCGATAGGTTTCACCCCTGATCGGAATGAATTTCCTTCGATGTACCTGTGACAACATATCGGAAAAAATAAATCGACTGCTAAAACCTAAGTTTTCAAAGTAAAGAGCACAAGTGGAACTCACATTTCCTTCAAAAATGCGTGCTTGTATAATGAATCGGGTATTCTTCCAGAAAATTGATTGTGATCCAAGTACCTAAATCACATAAACAAATGACAAAAGATCTCCGATCTTATAAATGCACATAACACATATCGGTCTTTTTCTCGTAATAATTTGGACAAATCATACTTACAAGTAAGTCAATCGAGGAATATGAGCGAGACCGAAAGGTATAACTCCAGACATTTTATTGTAGGATAGATATCTGAAATCGAGTTAAATTGAGGTAAAGTATAAATAGAAAACAGAACAAGAACACATAGTAACAGCCCGTAAATTCTTTATATATAGATAATTATACTTACAATATCTCCAAGTTTGTTAAATTTGCAAGCTGTGATGGAATGCCTCCACTAATGTAATTGTTATTAAGATACCTGCGAAATAACAAAATAAAAAAGAAATCTTACATCCTTAAAAGAGAATTCTTAATCAAATCAAATTAATAAAAATTGGTCATGAAGCATACAGATTACGAAGAGCTGGGAAGCATCCTTCAACGCGAATGAGTTCTCTTATGGTCCCAACCAAATGATTATTACCAACATCCCTAAAAAGAAATAAAAAAATCCAATTAATGAAACAAGAACGAATACAATAAAAAAAACCCGAAATGGTTGACGTGTAATCTTACAAGTGCCTTAAATTTAGCAAAGTTCCTAATTCGGGAGGAATTCTCCCCATCAAACGATTTTCGTGAAGTTGGAGATATCGTAGTTCAGGAAGATCCGCAAGCTCCTTTGGAATTTCACCCTTAAAATTATTGAAACTCAAATAGCTGCACAAATTTTTCACACAATCATTGTTCAAAACAAATTTTGACGCAAAAAAAGTAAATAGAAATGAATATTTTTAAGAAGATATAACATCACCCACAGATGCGTTAGCTGCTTCAGTTCGCCGATTTCAGAAGGAATGACATCTTGCAGCTTATTCCACCTCAAATTACTGATAAAAAAGTAACGGAAACACAAAAGGAAGTCAAGAAGTTTAAACAAGCCAAAGTTAAATATAAAAAAAAAAATGTCACACGATTGTTTATGTATGAGAGAGTAAAAGACTGTACAGTATCTTGAGATGCTTCAACCGCCCAATCTGTGACGGAATCGGTCCGGTAAGCTTGTTATTATGTAGATCCCTGTCACAACAAATAACTTTGCAGATTTTAGAGATTCATATTAAAGAAATATAACAAAACTATCCAAAAAAACAAACTCCGACTTTGTGCTAATAAAGTAATTTTCTCTAGCAGGAAGCAATCTTTATGCAACCCTTTACATTGCTTTTAGAAATTCTATCTTATAACAAAAAACATATAAACAAAAATAAATAAAAAATCAGTGATATCTTACAGCCTAGTGAGATCCATCAGATTGGTAACTGCAAGTGGAAAGGGGCCGACAATCGAAACTGCATAAACTTCCCTGCAGCATAAATCAAGTGTGATGATCCAATTATTACACAATTCCGGAAAAAAAGAAAAAAAAGAAAGCCGATTAAAAGAAAGAGCAAAAGAATCGGAGGCTCACAATTCAGTAACAACTCTATAGTCACCGTCACTGACAGTAGAACAAGTGACGCCAGACCATGGTGGCAAATCACCATCTCCGCAAGGATCGTCACCAATCCATGCGTACACCACCCTCCACCCTAGCGACGCCTTTATTTCGTTCAATGCCTTCACTGTAATTAGCATACAGTTCACAAAAATCTCAGTTCCACAAATATATTAAAAAACAAAACATCGCAGTATGCAAATATATATATATACATACAGTCGGAAATCGTGATAGCTTGTTCCTTTTCCCCAATCTTCAAAATGGATTAACATGAAACCATATTATAAACGCATATCAAATCGTATCAAAACGGCAGTAAAATGTACTAATTAACCGTGTTCTGTATCTATGTTTCAAAATTTCAATGTGATGAAAATAGCCCTAAAATTAATCAAACGTAAGGAATTAAATCATCAATGCACTAATTAATTTTTGACTCAATAAAATCCGAATAATCAATAAAAAAAAACAGAACTTTCCTTTAAATACAATCTAATCAATCACAGCAAATGAACTGCAAACCTAATCATAATCAACGATAGCTTTTACACTGAAATCCCAAATCCTACCAAAATCTGATGAGATGCAAAGTAGAGGATTAGCTCGATTGCAACACAAAGTTGACGATGTTGTTGAGTGTGATCAAAGAACGGAATGGGAAAAATTACCGTCTCGCTTAAGGGTCTTGGAATAAACGACGTCGTTTAAGAGTGATGGAACTACGATCAACAGAGTAAAAACTGAACAAAGGAAATGGAAACGAGTCGCCATTTTTAATTAGCTTTTTCTCAAACAAACAGAGTTACGTAAAGAAATCCACAGTGCTTGTTGCGAAGAGACACAGATTACATGAAACTATCTAGTGATTTGTGTGAAATCGGTTGATCGCATTTTTTCCCTTTTTTTCTCTTTAATTATCAAAATTACGAAAATTCTGGTTTTTTTTGTTTTTTTTTTTTAACTATTATTGAAATTAAAATATATTCGGTGTTCCGATTTTCGATCTGATTTTCAAGCACATTTACCGATTAAAAAAATATATATTTAAATATTTTATTAAATTTTTATGGCGCATAGTCTACACCCTTAAGACCTCCCTTTTAATTTAATTCACTCGATTGTCGAAAAGCCCACCCGACGATCTAGGATCGGCTGCATTAAACAAATGACTGGAAAATATTAAAAAGAGAGCGGAAATTCAAAAGAGAGTGTAAAAGTGTTTTATTGGTGTTTTTCCGTAATCCTAATAAGGTTCTTCATATTCGTATATCCAAGAATTATACATAGTTATTTCTTAACTTAAGATCTCTTCATTCGTCCGAGATTTACATTGATTATTATCGACCCTAATTTACATACTTTATTTATCTATTTATGAAAAAATACGCTAAGATCTTCTTCTCCAACAACTATCTTCGATCGAGCTCGTCAGTCTGGTCCATCTTGGTGCTTACCTTCATTGGGCCGAAACTTGGCTTAATGGGCTTAATTTCGATTGTTTATTGGGCTTCAACCCAATAATCACAAATATAGAGTTCGGCCCATATTATTCGTGTGTGTGTATCTAATAACTTTTCATTTTAATCAAATACACGTGTCATAGTCTGGTTTTGCCCTAATTGGGATCAAACACTGTATATTTTTATTTTTTCGAAACTGATCATCTCACCACAACCACGTATTACAATGATTAATCGCACTAATTATGATTAATGATAATTAATAACATGTTTGGATGCTCTGTGTTTTGTTAACGTGAATTAGGTTTTAATTCATCTGTATATAATTATATATGCAACTCCCACTAAATATGAATCATGATGAGCGATAATGGACGGCTGATTTCATGTCGGCAGGAGATTATCCACCGTCCGATTGTCGTCTGTAGTTTCGCCTTGTTGTTGTCAGTGGTAATTAAAGTCGATATAAATTGTAGTAATTATTTGTTGGCAAAGTTTGATGAGGATTGATACTAATTAACTACTAATTAAGTAATTAACTACTTACAGATCATGATCATAAGCTAGCGTTGACTAGTATGCAAATAATATCTGAAAAAGAGGTCACATGTATAAACATAAATGAATTTTTGCTATTAGTTTGTAGTAGGCTTTTGAGATCCTACACCGGGTAGATCTTTACCATTAATATACACACAAACACACACACACCCACATTGGTGTGTGTAGATCAACGGTGAAAAATCACCCGGTGTAACCTTCACCGGGTGTAGGATAGATAGATAAAACCGTTTGTAGTAATATACTTTAATAAATTAGGGTTATCTTCACTGTCCCATTAAAGAAAAAAAAAAGTGATTATATGATATTTATCAAACTTTTTATTCGTTTAGTTTCCAAAATAATTGCAAAAAAAGAACAACTAAAAGGCTGTATTAGCTATTGAGAGCCACTCATTTTTTTTCACATATATATAGTGGGGGCATCTCTAATTTGTTTAAATGATCCCATCCATTTTTCGGTGTAAACCCTTGTCCTTTTACGATATGAATTTATTTCCGATTTATCGATTTTCTAGATGCTACACCAGGGCGTATGTACACACAAATTCTAGGATTATCAAAACCAAAATTATATTTTTTTTGTAAACAAGAAATTCGCAGCCAACCATAAATAAATATCGAGTAAATCTATACTCTCGTATAAGAGGTTGTAAATTACGCGAGAGACGTAAGCAACATTAGGCTAACTATGTATGACAAACTCGACATAGCGATCGTTGACAATATATCACACAAACTCACTTGCTCCAACAGATAAGTCATCCCTCACGGGACCAAAACAAACATCTTAGATTGTGAATGTCTTGAATCCAAAAGAAAAGATATTATATTGTCTACTTTGATAAATAATAGAGTTCATATTTGAGTTTTATAATGTCGAATTATTTTGTATTATTTTTCTAAAAATATATAATATTGGTTTCTTTGATGTCTTATATACTACGTATTAACACATTAAATCTAGTTTTTATTAGTTTTAATTCGGATTGAATAATTCACAAAACACCCGTATTAATAAATAAATAGCTATCATAAGCCCAAAAGCATACGTCAATATCACTAAATATAACCGGTAAGCACGCTGCCCATTTAAACCTTATAATCGGATGCTAATTAGTATCGGACACGTGGACACTAAAATGACAAGTGGTTTGCCCATTTAATACAAAACACAAAAACTAATAACAAATACTAAAAAATAAAACATTTTCTCCAAAATTATTCACCAAACAACAATTTCAAATTGTGTTCTACAAAAAAATAAAAAATAAAAAATAAAATTAATTGTTCAAATTAGAAAAAAATTAACCCAAAACCCCGGAAACCCGGAACCCGAAAACCCAAAACCCCGGGAACCCGGAACCCGAAAACCCAAAACCCCAAACCCCAAACCCGGAAATCCGAAACTCGAAAACCGAAACTCAAAACCCGAAACCCAAAAACCCGAAACCCAAAAAACCCGAAATCCCCAAAAAACCCGAAAACCCGAAACCCAAAAAACCCGAATCCCGAAAACCCGTGCGTTGAACATAAGGTTTTATTATTATTATTATTATTATTATTATTATTATTATTATTATTATTATTATTATTATTATTATTATTATTATTATTTTTATTTCGTTAGTTGTTAACCATTTTCCGAAATGTTAGCGTTAACCCTAAATTTACAATTAGCTAATTTAATTTAGTTTAGAGTTTGTTAATCAAATTATCCATGTGGCATAATATAAATGGAATCCGATTATTGTACATAATCACCTCATCCGGTGGGAATTTAAACTCTATTGCATATGGTCCACAATTATAATAGAAATTTTCAATCAAGACAATCGGTATTAACAAAATTATATTAAACTATCGAACTAATAAATTTAGTACGCTTTTATCGAGTTGGGATCGGAAGAAATTATTATTTAACTAAAATTTTAAATTTATCGAGGTTTTAGTGTAGTTTCCTATACTTGCCTATAACACAGGTTATTTATACAATTTATTAATTACTTGCCTAAGTTTTGTGCCATCTCTCTCTCTCTCTCTCTCTCACACTAGATTTGCTTAGATTTCACCATCTTGTGGCCCTTCCTATTTAGAGATTGACTGCAAATATTTTATTTTAGCTTCTCTTTTTCTTTTTCTTGTCTGTTTGTGCAGAGATGGAAAAAGAAAAACCAACAAATCAAATTGAACGCGTATTTCTCTTTCCCCCCACCCAGAAACCCTAGCTATTAGCTTTCTCTCTCCGCGTTTTTTTTTTCTTCACGTGTTTTAGATATTTGCTGTTGCGCCCGGATTGATATGGATGGGAAGAAGAAGGCCGAGGATCCCGAGTTCACGACCGAGTCGAGCTGGGGACTCGGCGGCGACGTGAACCACGGCTATTTCTTCGGGAGTGGTACTGATGATTATAGGGAGAGCAGCGTGCTTACCGATTTCGGATGGAATATTCCGTCCGAATCTAACGGCGTTTGGGGATCCGATTTGGCAGGAAGCGGCGCCGATGGTTGTGTTTCTGTGGCTACGTCGGGGATCAGTACTGCGCCGCCGCCTCAGCCGATGGCGTTGGTGGATCAGGAGAACAATACTTTTGCGTCGAATCCGTCCGTGTCGTCGAGCTCCTCCGAGGATCTGGGGGATAAGTCGACGGCCTCCGGTGGCTCATCCTCCGCCGCCGCCGTAAATCCGACGCCGTCGTCGGACACAGCGTGAGTACTGTAAAATGCATGCGCCGGTGTTTGAATTCATCCAGGTTTTTTTTTTACTAGAGGGGTAAAATTGTGATTAAAGGAGCTCATTAATTAATTTCCAGAACCGTAAAAGTAAAACGCAGAAAATGAGAAAAGTCGTCCACTGTGTGTCCGTACAGTTTATTGGGGAAGATAGGTATTTTCGAAATTAAAGCACAATTCAGAGGCTATTATAGGAGAGTAGAGCCGCTATTTATTATTTATAATTCCTATAGTAAATAATTAATACTTTTTTTTTCAATAAATTTAGATATTTAATTTTCCACTTAAAACACATGAATATCATGAATAAAATGCACGTTGAACCGATGAAACAAATTTAGATATTTAATTTTCTTCAATTATATATTATTTCTCAATTTGCTTATTTCCCTATTTTTTTTTTATGAATTATGATGTCATTAATTGAAATTGAGCATTCAGTTTCGTGTTAGCTAATTTATTGATCTTGGGAAAAATCTCCTATATATCAGAAGCTTTTAACAACTTATCGTAATATGGCATGTTAAAATCGTAGAGGGTTTTGCTCTTACTTATCGATAATCAGCTATTTGAAGGTGTTGAATGATAACAATTTGTAGTCGATAATCCTTTTCCTGTGTCGATGTATTTATTAATTGCAGGAGCAAGGCTAAAAAGAAAGGAGAAAAGCGACTTCGACAGCCACGTTTTGCTTTCGTGACTAAGAGCGAAATTGATCATCTTGAAGATGGCTACCGATGGCGAAAATATGGCCAGAAAGCTGTCAAAAACAGCCCTTTTCCCAGGTACGTACCCCAAATAGTATTTGCCGTTAAATATCTATAAATTAATACAGTCGGGACTAACAATTTTATTAATTTAGTGAAATATTAAATTATTGAACTAATAATTATGTAAGTTTTAACTGAATCGGGACATGAAGAAATTATTATTTAAAACGAGATTATTAATTTATCAAGGTGTCAGTTACTTGCAACAATATAAGTTAAAGCAGCAAAGAATATATATAATACAGGATTTTTCGCATGCATGCAGGAGCTATTATCGTTGTACAAACAGCAAATGCACGGTGAAAAAGAGAGTCGAAAGATCGTCTGAAGATCCGACGGTTGTGATCACTACATACGAAGGGCAGCACAGTCACCACTCATCATCATCATCATCCGTTGGATTTCCTTGCAGATCAGGCGGCGGCGGTCTTCTTCCTCAGCTGCAGCTGGAACCCGATTCAACATTTTCAAGAAACGCTTCTTCCAACAATATTAATAATTCACACGATTTTAGCTATTACCCAAGGCCGCCGCTTCAATTAACTACTCAAGAAAATTGTGATTCTATTATTAATAATAAGGAATTACCACCAAGTAAAAATCAATTAGGCAAAGATGGAGAGTTATCTCACCAAGGAAAAGAAACAACTTCACAAGGACTCCTTGGAGATATTGTGCCCCCTCGAATGCGACATTGATCATAGTACGAGGTATACCTTACTTTGTTCTCTATTTATAAGTTCATAATATAGCCATTGTTTTTATAATATATATATATATACACACACACACACACATTACAAGTTTTTTTTTGGCCAATAAAATAAAGAATGGCGAGTATTTTTAGTAATTCGATATAACACAAGGGTACATATATTAGTTTCATATTTACGACCGTTGGGAATTTCTCGACGGCACTTTTTCTTCGGCAACGGCTCTTATCTTTTGTGTCTGAATTTCTCAACGGCAGCTTTTCCTGGATCCGAATTCCAACGGCTGGATTTTCATTTTTATGCTTTGGGAATAGAATGAACTGATGTATCAGTTTTGTATATGAATGTATAATTCTTAATTCATTCATAAGTGAGGATTTAGTTATGTTTAGTTGCAAGGGTAGTTTTGTAATAACCTTTTGACAATTGGGCCTTTGTAATGTTGGTATGGGCTTTCCACTATTCCCATTTCAACGACCCAAATTATAATACTACCAAATTGGTTTATATAGCAATTGTTTATTTATATTTATGATTTATTTACCCACAAACATAAGTATATTAATTTATATGTGTGCATTTCTGTAATAATATATTATTACATTATACACTCAATCAGCAGTGTTAGCGGCTTCTGGGAGTGGTATCTTCTTGCACATATTGATTTTTTTACGAGCAAATAATTTTCAAATTTTTAATGATATAGTTTTTTTTTTTTTTTTTTTTAATTTTCTTGCATTATACACCAAGTTGTTGATTTTAACTTCAATGCATCAAATGACACAATTAAAAGATGATACAAAAGTCAAACACACACAAAAAAAAAATTAAAAAAAATTCAACTCTATTAAAGATTTATTAATGAAAGCAAAGTACAAAAGTTAGTGCTACTTGGTTTTCAAGTGACCACAAACACTATTTAGTGTCAAAAATTCATACAAATTTAATTAGGGGATTTTACGCCAAGTTCTAATCGGATTTTTTATTTGGTGCTAACATTGTTCCATAATAACTGCTTCTTGTTGAAAATATTTGTGTTTCATATTATTTGCCACTTTAGATTTTATGTCCTAACCTTATTAATATATTTTAAGTATTAACTCTCTTTTATCGCATCATTAAATCATCAAGGTTATTCTAGTCTTTTTTAATGTATTTTTCCCAATTTACGACATTCTTAATACTTGTGCAAAGCTGAAAAACGACAATTAACTGAGAACAGGAAAAAGTAAACGGAAAATAGTAGGGGGAGGGGCTTGAAATTATGAAATTTGATATTAGGATTGCAAATAAAGGTTACATTGCAAGCCAACTTATTAAATGTACAAAATTGAAATAATTCTAAAGAAAAAAAGAAAGAAAAAGAAACAACTTATAGTGACAATCACTAAAGCAACATTGTTGTTAGGCCAACTGAATTATTTCTGAGGTAGAGAGCTTTTCAAAGGCTGAATAACCAACTTGATCTTCTTCAAAATTGAATGCTTTATAGCAATCTTGGTTCTTACTACTCTATAAATCAAAGTAAATATATATAAATATATATATATATATCCCACTGCTTCAAAATTGATCAAAACTATTTCAAATAATAAAAAGGGAGATAAGATCGATAAACGCTTACTATCGGTCGTATCTAACGCGGAGGAGGATATTCGTCGGGCACATCATCCTCGTCATCAACGGGAGCAGGAAGATTGAGGTCGAGCATATCAGCCTTTACCACCGTGCTCCGATTATTATTATTATTATTATTATTATTATTATTATTATTATTATTATTATTATTTTCCACATGCCCCCCGATAAAATGTGACCTCTTATGGCCACCCAACGCCTGCCCGTTCTTGAAAACCCTGTCGCAAAACGGGCATACGTGCGGTTTGTTCTTCTTCCCCTTCATTTTCTTCTCGATCGATTTTCTGTTGCTAAGAGAATTATTATTAGCAACGAACTCGGTAGAACCTTCTAGACTATTCTCACCGCTCTCGTATCTCGTCTCGTAAAAAGCAGTGCTCCTCTTATGGCACGGCCTATGCCCGCCTAGTGCTTGGTACGACTTGAACGTTTTCTTGCAGTTGAAGCACTCGTATTTACTCCGTTTCTCAGTATACTCCTCGGGAATATTCTCCGGAATATACCTTCTCTTCCTCGATGACTCGTCACCACCTCTCGTCTTCATCGAGGGCTTATTATCGTACTCGAAATACGAAGGAATATTCCTTCGGAATCCGTCGACGGAAGCATCGGATTCGTACTTTGAACACTCATCCAAGAAATAACCCGAATCGGAATCGTTATGCACCTCATCGATTTTCTTCGTCTTGTTTTCTTGATTACTATTATTATTATTATTGTGGATTTTTTTAATGTCGATGGAAGATGACTTAGTCTCGAGAATAACGGAGTTGTTATCCGACGACTCAACTACCGAATTTACGCCACCTTTGTTATTATTACCCGAATCCCTCGACAGCATCATTAAACACATCGCCACCTCCTCGTTTTCTTCGCCGTCGATTTCAGAAACAGACGAAGAACCATTATTATTATTAACTATTTTCTTGCACCGCTTATTTTTCGATGACGACCTCAAAATCCGATCTTCTGCTTCGGCTTCAGCTTCGGCCTCGGCTTCGTCGGTGTCGGAATGGCTATCGATTACCAGTTTCTGATTGTTCTCACTCGTCCAAGAATACTGATCATCTTTCAAAACCTTGTCTCTGTCAGAGTGGCAAGCCATGTGACCACACAGTGCCTTTAAAGATTGAAACCCTTTGCCGCATTGCTTGCAGATTCTTTCTTGTGGTGAGGGGAAATTCGAGCCGACAGCTCTCCATGATTTGCGGGGGTTCTCTCTCAAACCGTAGCTCGTTTGCCCGTTTCCGAATTCACCAGTTCTTGAATCGTTGATTGTGGTGCTGTGGGGGTGGGGGTGGTGGCCCCCAACAAAATCAGTGATGGGGGAAATCCTTTTCATGGCGGAATCAACTTTTTCGAGAGATGATATTTCTGCTGAACTTGAAACTACGTGAGATCTCATATGACCACCGAGTGATTTCCCACATGGATATTTTTTGTTGCAGAGCTTACAAACGAATCTAAATTCATGATCCTCCTCCATTTTTTTTGCCCCAAATTTGCTATGTGAATTTACTTGATTCGATCAGTAAAACAGGGGAAATTTAAAAAAAAAATTGAAAAAATTAGTGAAGTAATGAATCAAGATCAGAAAACAGCTGATTGAACTTGAACTGTGAAATAATGCAGCATTCACTTGATCGGAAACAGAGGAACCCTAATCGGAAAAATTGAAATAAATCGAAGTGCGAAAATGAAGTTGAAAAGGCTCAAATCTTCGATATAGGTATAGTTATACCTTTTTGCTACAATCGCCACCCACAAATTGACGGAGCAAACAAATCAAAGTCCAGAAGAACAGAGAAGATCAGAGCAGCAGTGAATCGCAAATCTGTGTAATTTTGAAAAAAAAGAAAAAAAAAAAGAGGGGATATAATTATGGAAGTAGTAATTAATAAATAGTAATAATGGTGAGATTTAGGAAGAAATGTGGGGAAAGAATCAAAGAAGAAGAGATGGTGGGTTCGGTTAAGATGGGATTGAAGTAGCCACGAGATTGAGAAATGAAACAGAAACTCGAGACGACGACTCTTTCCTCCTTATATTTCTCTCTCATGAATTACCTTCTCTCTCTCTCTCTCTCTCTCTCTCTCTCTCTTTCACTTTCTCTCTCTAAATTAGCTTGTTTGTTGTTTGGGTGTTGTTATAGAGACTATAGTAGAATTTGAGAATTCCATGCATGGAAGCAAAATATGAAGAGAGAGAGAGAAGAGAGAGAGAGAGAGAGAGATTAAATGATGGAAAGCACGTGTAGTTCAGAGGAGTGTTTGGTTGCTACAGAATCGGACGGCCCAGATCTGTTTGATTACTATTTATTATAGTGCTTCTCTATTTTTATTTTTTCTTGTTACCCTAATTAATTACTAATTAGATGGCGAATTAAATAGAATAAGATATATAAGTAATTAATGGATTTCTAATCATCTCAGTTATATATCCCAAGGCTGCCGTTATATGCAAGCCCATTTTTTTATTAGTTCAAGACCTCCAACATAAAAATACTAATTTACCCTTAATGAAATTAAAATTAAATAAAAAACACAAAACATTAAAACATAAAAAAAAAATTATTTTCTTTGTGCAAGACCAAATAAAATACATAAATCCAGAAATCCCTCTTCCTTATTTCACGACTTAAAAATCTCCTTCTTCTTCTCCTTCTTCTTCACAAACCCACCAAAAAATCCTACACACCAAAATTATAAAATACATATCAAACATTCACGATGGAATGGAACCATAAAACAATGATATGGTGGTTTACAAAGGTGGAGAACACAATGAAATATATTTTAATCGTTTATTTTTGCTATTGGGTCGTTTTTTTTTGTTGGGAAAAAAATTCGACGATACAAAAAATCGGTCTGCAAATACCGATTTTTGTTACTAAAGTCGGTAACCACATTCCGATTATTTTAATAAAAATCGGTACTTAAAAACCGATTTTTGTAGTAAAATCGGCATGACAACACCGATTGGTTTATGTATTATCGGTATTGTCATGCCGAATTGTACTACAAAAATCGGTTTTTAAATACCGATTTATTATCTGTGTTTTTTTAAGTCCGTTTTCTCATACTTTCGTGTATCAACCTAGGGGATTGATGGAGGAATATCCAAATGAATTATCTAATGAATAAATATTTGAGATACGGAAAACTCTACTTGATTGGGTTAAAGGAGTGGGAGACGCCACCGAATGGTGATAAACATTTTCGTTTCAAATATTTAAAAAATATCAATTAACCAAATATATAATGTATTATTTAGAAAAAAAATCCAAAAAATATCGGTATCCGAAAACCAATTTTGTACTCAATAATCGACATTAGAACGCCGGTTTTGACTTGTAAAGTCGACGTTGTGTAGCCAATTTGGTTAACAAAAATCGGCATTATGACGTCGATTTCCGTGTACAAAATCGGTCTGGATAAACCGATTTGGGAAACCAACGAAAAAAAATAAAAAAAAAACCAATTTCAATCTCATTTTTTTTTCCAATATCGGCCAAATCATTGCAACCCAACAAGAAATAAGCATAGATTAATGTTCGTTCATACATATTTATCAAGAATAGATGTTCGATTAATATTTTCGAATTTACAAATAGAAATTTAGTAAAAAAGACATCGATGTTCGATTAATGTTTTCGAATTTACAAACAAAAGTTTAGTAAAAAGGACTTACTTGTTGGTGGTGGTGCGGTGGGTGGGTCGCTGGTCATCGTCGGTGCGGTGGAAGTCTCACTGGTCGGCGTCGCAACGATCTGGCGGCGGCAGTCCTGATATTTTTTTTTTTTTTTTTTTTTATATTTTTGATTTTTGGTCTTAAATCGGCCAAATCATTGCAACCCAACAAGAAATAAGCATAGATTAATGTTCGTTCATACATATTTATCAAGAATAGATGTTCGATTAATATTTTCGAATTTACAAATAGAAATTTAGTAAAAAAGACATCGATGTTCGATTAATGTTTTCGAATTTACAAACAAAAGTTTAGTAAAAAGGACTTACTTGTTGGTGGTGGTGCGGTGGGTGGGTCGCTGGTCATCGTCGGTGCGGTGGAAGTCTCACTGGTCGGCGTCGCAACGATCTGGCGGCGGCAGTCCTGATATTTTTTTTTTTTTTTTTTTTTTTTATATTTTTGATTTTTGGTCTTGAACAAATTAAAAATATGATTTATTTGTATTTGAGTATTATTTGTGGATAAGGGTATATTTGTCATCTTTGGTATTGATGTAATAAAATTAGATTAATTTACGGGTTTGAACTAATAAATTCTTTTATGTGGTTTTGAACTAATAAGAAAATGGGCTTGCATATAACCGCCGCCATATCCCAAAGATTTCTACTCCATAAATACTTATTGTTTTTTTTGTAAATTGTCTCTCTGTGTTTCAAAATTAAAAAATAATTTTATAAATATTTAAGAGGTGAAAAATGTCCAAGATTAAATGAAAAAATCAATTGCATTTGAGAGGGTTTTTTTATTTTTTTATTTTTTATTTTTTATTTTTTTGTGAAGAACATTTAAGAGGTGTTTAGAAGCAACCATTTTGTTGCAGAATACAACTTTCGGTAAAGTTTGTTTTTAGCTTTACAATCTTTGAATATCTTTTGCTATCAATTTTAGATCATACTCGATTTGTTCTTCGCCATTTATTTGCTACATATTTGGGATTTTGAGGGGGACAATTTTATAAAATATTTATATAATTATTACTTTGCCTCCAATAAGAAATTATGACATATAAGGCTGATTTCGCAGCTAGGGTGGGGGTGGGTAGCTCAAGATGGGGTTACTCCTCTTAAAAGAAAAAAAAAAAAAAAAAAAAAAAAAAAAACCGTAAATCATATTAAGTTAACTATGTGTGACAAGCTTCACATAACGATCGTTGATAAGATGATTCAAACTGGGATCAATTGACAACACATGCTCACTTGCTCCAACCGCTGGATCATCCTTGCAGGAATACATATATGGTAGGATTTTAACAAAATGTTTGATTAAAGAAAAATTAGAAGGAACAAATTAAAGAATTAATATATTGGTTTTGATAAATGAAGAATTAACTTTACCCACTCTAAAATTCATTGAGTGTAGCATATTTTTTAATTATTTTCAAAAACAAGAATTTTGAGCACATCTACCAAGTTGAATAATGGAAAGTTGAAAACTCAATTATTGCAAACCACCACCTTGCTTTCAGGAGAACCCCCCTAATAACACTACATTAGACCTTGCTAATTACTTTCTTCATAGGGTTAGCCAGTTAGTTATGAAATTGCCAAGAAACCTAACCCAACCTCATTAATATTGATTTTATTCTTATTCTCCAATAATATCTTTTCCAGGATTATCCATTCAACCCATCTTAATCGACATGTCAATTTTTCGCCATTTTTATCTACATTCTTAGCAGACACGATCAAAACATCGATTAAACAACAAAATTTCTTGTAGATAAATACATCCATCCCTTCAATTAAATTAACTATACGGGGGGCATCAAGATCAAGCAAAAGTTTCCATTTTCTTTCTCTCTCTCTTCCCCCTCTTAACATTCCTAATTTTACACAGCAATAAACGGATAATAATGAAGTTAAGAATAAAAACCTGAGATCATTACGCAACTCCATCTCTTGTCCGAACATTTTCTCCCTTCTTACCATCAATTTCAACACCCTCTTGCCCTTTTTCAGGTTCAGACCAAAAGTCATCCATCCAGCTTGTATCCAAATCTTGATCACCAAAAGACTCAACTGTGGAGTCTTCATCTTCTTCTTCTCCAACTGTAAAGCACTTCCCATTTGGACCCCTCCGATCACCATCATCATCAGTATCTCGATCCAACGACTGAGATTCGTTCCGATACGAATCTCCACCGCCACATGTCTGCTCCTCATCATCATCACTGTCAATCTCCAACAAATAAGATCTGTTCTGAACAGCCCTTCTACGGAGCACAAACACATTGAAATAGTAACTTACGAGTTCCTTCTTCGTTCGAGATGGAAACGCAGATCTAAGAAGCTTCCAGAAATTTCTACCATGTGACACGGGGTTAGACAAGACAATTTCGTGAAAGACATGCTCGTCGGCCGGGGTCCACTTGCAAGCCACCTCATCACCCATGTGGCAGAATCCCAAATCTATAAAATTATTTTCCCCAATTGTCTCGAGCAGCTTCTCTCTCGCTTCCTTCACGTGTTGCTGCACGCATCTCATGGACCCCACATCCAGGCAGCTGCAAACCACTGTTCTGCCATGCCCAACTCTAACTCCATCACTGGTGGAATCATTTAAATCGGGCATCGGAATAACACAAGTCCCCATTAGTTGTTGCTCCCTCTCGTCGGTAAAGTAGTTTGCACCTTCCCATAATGGAACTTCAGCTTGATAATCTGGACCGAGAGGAACTTCTTTTTTCGGAGAAGAATTTAACAAAGATATGTAGGGATCATCGAATTGTTCAGGGGGTCTTCTTGGTGGTATGCTAATGTCGATATATCCTGGAAAGTAGGACCAGAAAGACGTGTCTCCATTTCCAGCATCTTCTTCGCTACTGCTGGTAACCAAAGATAAAGGGGCACTTGCCTCAAACTCTTTGTCAGCTGCAGATGCACTATATGTCTCACTATCTTCAAGTCGCCCATCAAACTGTAACTCACAAATGTTGCTTTTTGGTCCGCCTAAAATATCATATGAAAAATCAATTTACTGGAAATCCACATATAATCAGACAACGCGTGCATAAGTTGCTATAAATCATGGTTCACCAAGAAAATTTCAGATACAGATAGCAACGACATTACATTGTAAAATTAAGGCACTTAACGCAGGTTTTTTTTCGGTCTCTTCCAGTATTAATATTAAGAGGGTACACTGAAAAAAAAGCTTCTCAGTTAAGATATTTACCAAGAGAATCAAATCTTGGAGTAGTAATATGAAAATCCTCTGTACAAGAAATCAGCTTTTTGTTGTAGTCAATAGGTTTCCCAAAAGAAGCCTCTGGAAAGTCTGCCTCCTCTAAAGGACGTTTGATTCCCATCTTCTGTAAATAAGGCAAAAGAATACACAAATCAAATTGAGATCATTTCAAAATGTAAAGGATATAGATAGGTAAATCAAGTGATAATATAATGCATACGCGAAGGTGTAAAGATCCAAAAATACCTTCAAATGGCCTACACCAGCAATGCACGTTTTAAATACTTCTGAGTACTCTCAAAGTTATGTTTAAAATGCCTTCCTGCATTTGTGGTAAAGCAAGTGTAATCAATACAACAACAGAAAAACGCACACGAATAAAATATACAGCATTAGGAACTACAATAATGTCTAAGACCAGTGAGGACATATGAAACAAACAGACAGGAACATCCGACGATAAACAGTTGACCTACATGATTAAAGCAAAACAAACTACACAAAATATAAAATCAGTTCCACAAAGAAGATCAATCGTAATGGACAACCGCATGTCGCAAAACTGAAAACATTAAGAATAACCAAGCTTAAAGTTAATTCGATAATAGACATTGTACCTTCATCAAGTATCACACCCAATGAAAACGACAAGCATCTCCCACAAGCGTATACGGAAAAAGTAAAGTACATTATACTTGAACTAAAAACCCATGGATTAAGCAAACAATATTTTTTCAAGACCCAAACCAGCTGAGTATGCCTTCATAACCAATTACAAAACAGAAACAACAACCACCAACAACAACCCCCAAAAAAAACCTAAATACAGAAACCCTAACCCTAGATTCACAAAATCGAAATAAAAAAAAACAGAAAAAATATAATCAAATTCAATTCAGAGAGACGTACCAAAACCCCAAATCAATTTACAGATCCAAAGAACCTTGAGATCGAGTCACCGCCACCAAAATAAACCCAATATTAAAAAAAGGATCTCCGAATAAAATTGAAGTTTCAAATCTATTTACAGAGGCGAAACACAAAACAATAATCGTAAATAGCAGAACCAAAATTTAAAAATATATTTGATGAATAAATTGAACAGATCGGAGGATTTAAGTGAAAACCTAGAACTTCACGTAATCAACAAATTTGATTTGAAAAAAAAAATAGAAGGATCAATCGAAAGAGAATGAATCTAATTGAATAAAAAAATGTTGAATTTTGAGATTCAAACGAAAACTCAAAAGAAATTTGGAGACTCCAAAAGTGAGATTGGAGGGAATCGGGAGAAATTGGGGGAAATTTTTGGTGCGAATCGCGATTTTTGTAGATGCGATGATGACCCGAATACGAGGACCCGTTTTTCAATTCGTACGTGCACAAAACTAATTACACGTGCTGTATACTTATAGCTGACTAGGACTCTTTTTTTTTTTTTTTTTTTTTTAAATTGATGTATTTTAACAGAATTTTGACCTTTTCTGTTAAAAACTACAGAATTTTGACTTTTGATTACGGGTAGAAATTTGAGGGTATTTCCGTCGAAATAAATTTAAAATACTATAAATTTGAGGTAATAATTTATTTTCAATTTTTTTAATGGAATCATAATACATATTAGATTACAATTTACGAGTAATTTCAAAAACTATTACATTTTTTTAGAAAATCATACGTATAAATTGTAATATCATTATTATTACGTATTTTATAACATAGATGAATAAAAAATCAAACTTCGGAAATTTACTTATTTTAATTTGATTTTTTTTATCAACAAGTTTTCATTCTAACTTCTGAAATTTCAATTTTTGATTTTCTTTACACTTTTGGAAAAATTGCAAATTGTTTGAAAGTCTTGAATTTCAAATACGATACATCTTTCCCCACTTACTTTCGAGTTCCGACTAAACAAAATAAAATGAATTATAATTAATGAAACGAAACGAATATTTATATAACTGAGGAGTCAGTTTGGCATCTTGGCGACATATTATCAATTTATTAGACTTAGAGTCAATGGGTCGCAAGAAGTAAAATGGCCCAAGAGCCCAATGGATTTTATGTTGTTTTGCTAAAACAAAGGGGTTCAATTTTCATTGATATTTTATGTTGTTTTATTCTATTGCTTTTGAGTTAATTTATATACTTGGCCGTAAATTATCACTTGGTTGGAGTTTAGGAAGTAACTAATCCATCCAAAATTAATTAGGGGCCCAAACAAAAAAACATTTTAATTAGAGCCCTCAATTGCAAACCACCCCTTTCAGGCCCAACCCAAATTCCAAACAACAACTTCATTGTTCACTTTTTGTCTGCTCTGCTAAAAATCATCTGAAATTGAAAATTCTCACCGGGAAGAATGGAGACCGGAGATGACGAAGAGCCGCCGCTCGCCATTGCAATCGACGAAGTCAACGACCACGAGATTCCACCACAAAGGACGATTGAGCTGGATGCTGGTCAACCGCCGTGTCTTCCGGTAGCTCAACCGGTCGGCGTCACCGTAATCACAGGATATCTCGGCTCCGGGAAATCGACGGTATGTGGATAATCGTATAAAAAAACTTATGACTGCTGATTAATTCAATTTAATTTTAATCGCCGTAGCCAAAATTGCAGGAGTTAATGTTTCTGCTTATATATGAGTGTTGAGTTTTGGGAAATGCCTTGATTTTGCTATTTAACTGATGAAATCGACGTTTCGGCTAAGTTTGAGCTGAGTAGAGTATCTTGTAAAGAGTAAAATTGTCGTATGCCTTTAACAATTAGCGCTAGTAAATCTAAAGTGACTACGATGAACTCAACACGAGTTGAATATCGATTGTGTTATTGGACTCTGAATTTTGTATCGACGACATCGAATGATGATGCCAAATGTACGATATTATGTAATTTTCATTTTTTGCTTAGTTGCTTGTATGCATATCTCGTTCAAGAGTATGTTATATGGGTAAAATAGGAGGCACTAAATATTTTTGTTCTCTGTAGTTAGTGAATCATATATTGAATACACAACATGGGAAGAGAATAGCAGTTATCTTGAACGAGTTTGGGGAGGAGATAGGAGTAGAGAGAGCGATGATCAATGAAGGAGACGAAGGAGCGCTTGTGGAGGAGTGGGTTGAGCTTGCAAATGGTTGTATTTGTTGCAATGTCAAGCATAGCTTGGTTCAGGCACTGGAGCAACTTGTGCAGAGGAAAGAAAGGTTATCTTTCTTTACGCCTCAGATTATTCTGGACCTTTGCATGTTTAATTAGTAGCATGCAAATTGGAGTTTTAAGCAAGTGATGCAACACACACACACACACACGTAATATGTATCGTGGAAATAGGATGAGATATTTTGATGGAAATATAATATTTGATTTCTTAAATTCCACTGCATGGGCTTATTTGCCTGCACTCTGCTCATGCGGCCTTCTGATTTTTTTTTCCAATTCTTTTTTTCCTTCATTAGTTTCTTATTATTTCCTTGAGGCTTCGTGGGAAACGTCACTAACCCGAACATATGATAATGTAATTCCTCTTAAAGTTATGATTTATTGTTATTTTATGTCCAGAATTGGGAAGCATCACTCAGAATTTTTTATTTTCAAGTTACTTCTATTGCGCACAGGCTTGACCATATATTACTAGAGACTACAGGTCTAGCGAACCCTGCCCCTCTAGCATCTGTGCTTTGGTTGGATGATCAATTGGAATCAGATGTCAGGCTCGATTCTATTATCACTGTGAGCTTCTTCCTCACGGTCATTGAATATTGAATTTCTTGGAACTCATATCACCAATTAAATTAATTATTCCGTCATCCACATACTTTTTTATGGTTAATTTTTCCGTTATTGACCTTTTTCCTGTTTTTCAGGTTGTGGATGCCAAAAACCTCGGCTATCAGCTGAAATCACATCATGAATCCTCATCATTCCCTGAAGCATATCATCAGATTGCATTTGCGGTAAATTTTTTCATCAGTTTGCTCTTCTTCTTTGCTTCACGTGTCTTAATTATCAAGAACCTTTTTGCGGTTTTGTTCAGTAATGCTGTCTAGCTCAGATGCTTCTTTGTTTCTGTCATAGGATGTTGTGATACTTAATAAGGTTGATCTGGTGTCTGATGATGACTCTGGTGTGGTCCTGGAAGATCTGGAAAAGGACATACATGCAATTAATTCCCTTGCCAATATTATTCGTTCAGTTCGCTGCCAAGTTGACTTGTCCATGATACTGAACTGCCGAGCATATGATGCTGCAGTGAGTTTTCTCTGTCTTACTATATATTCACTTCGCAACTTGTATGTAGGCATTCTTGTTTATGGTTAAGGTAAATGACATTAACTACATAAAATTCCCTTTTGATTTCAGCATGCCACTCATTTGGAAGACCTATTGAGAGAAAATCGAAATCTATCTACTAGTGATATTCACGACAGTGGTGTAAGAACCTTATGCATTTCCGAGATGAAGATAGTTGATCTTGAGAAGGTACGTATTGAATTGGCTACTAGATGAGGACGCTCTCAGGGTAATAGTAACATTTAAGTACCGGTTATTCGAAGCATAAAATTCTATGTGCGAATTGGCAGTAAAAAAAAATATTTTAACCATCTTTATTCCAATTCTTTTATATATTTATTGAACATTGCTGCTATCGAAATGAATAAGAATTGATCCATGAAGCAGCTTTTGATATGTTTACTCTTTTTAGATTAGGATGTGGATTGAGGAGATCCTTTGGGAAAAGAAATATGGAATGGATGTTTATCGGTGCAAAGGGATTCTAAGTGTCGTAAACTCAGATCAGCTTTACACCCTGCAGGTAAGCTTCCGTGCATGGAAATGCTTCACATTGCTTGTTCTCTTGTAGACGATGATTAAGAAAACCCAATTCGATAGAAGTATGGCTAGCGATGATTCCTAATTGTTATAAAAATTACTTTCGAATATCCACGTCATATTTTTAGTTAATTTTTTAGATGGTTCTTTGAATTTTTTTGCAGGCGGTAAGGGAAATATATGAGATTGTCCCAGCCCGCAAGTGGAAAGATGACGAGAGTAGAATCAACAAAATTGTTTTTATAGGTATCGATTTTTTCTTACCACAAAAGCCTTGTATACTTAGCTACATTAACTGGTTCAACTAGGTTTCTTTTTAAATTTTTTTCAGGTCGTTCGTTAAATGAGGAGATTCTAGTAAATACCATGCGAGATTGCACCGTGTAGTACTGCTGCCAGTTGGCTGACCTACGGCCACTCCAAGAAGCTGTAATTTGAGGAAAAACGTGCTCGACCATTTTCCGAAGGACCGTTGGCATTACAGCACTTCAAAGTTAGAATTCTAAACAGTATCTTCGAGAGTCATCTCTTTTTGTTCCTTACCTTTGTAGACGTCGGAAAGATAGTGTAAAAGAGCTCAATTTTCTTATCTTGATATTGAGCTAACCTAAACCATGGTTCTCAAGTAGTAAATCAAATAGCAAAATCATTTACAAATCGTAAATCGTAACGAATCTTAAAACATTTTTATATTTTATTTAAAATTACATAAAATAAAATCAAATATAACTAATATGGCAAAACACAGAGAAGAGAAAATCAAAATATGATCACTATTCACTACAATCTTGACACAATATTTTCTCACCCTAATCGAGCTCGAATCGAACCACACCCTTAAGTAGGTGGCAAAGCAATCGAAGACTCTTCTACCGACTCAATTCCTCTGTTTCTCCTTCGATCTCTAGTCGCCATTTTCTCACCATACCTAGCAAATATATCAGCCAAATCGAACAATCCAACTTCCCTCAATTTACCAGCCATCGCCTCAAACATAACCACACCTTCCTCGTTCGAAAAGCAATGCAAAAACTTATTGTAATCAAATCTAGGCACCACAACTCCTCTATCCAACACTCTCTCCACATACTTAGTAGCTTCTAGAGACTTCCCCGCCTTGACCAAACCCCCGACAAAAATAGTATCGAAATTGACCAAAGGGTCCTCCCCTTTTCTCCCCCTCTTCCCTAAATGCCCCTGCAACAACATAACATACGTGTGCATCGTAGGCTCACACCCTCGTTTATCATCTCTCTAAAGACTTGCGTTGCATCGCTCGCCTTTTTCAATCTCAAAAGCCCCTTAATCATTCCATGATAAACGCAAATATCGACATTTTCAACCTCTTCCAAAACCTTAAAACCTTCCCTCACCCTCCCTTTACTAACGAGGCCGTAAATGATCGAACCAAGTATTTCGTTATCGGCTTTTATACCATTCATTTGCATTTCCTCGAAAACCACGTAACTCTCCCCCATTTTGCCCTTGTTGCACAACCACTTGATCACGAGCCGATAAGTAGACAACCTTAAACTCTTCGCTTCCTTCACCCTCATAGACTGAAAAAGCTTCAACCCTTGATCGAATTTGTTGTTCTTGAATAGGGTTTCTAACATAATCTCTATTGCATTAAAATCGGGCTCAAACCCTTCATCCACCATCGAGTTCCAAATTTTCGAGGCCTCGATTAAATCGCCAATGTCACAAAACCCGTAAACCAACCACGTGTAAGTTTCCGCATTAGGCTTAATCCAATCTCTTAACTTCACTACCAAATGCTTAGCTTCTGCAACAAGTTTCTTCCGACATAGAATCTCTACTACTGTGTTAAAGGTCTCAACTTTATACTCGTACCCATAACCATTCATCAAATGGAAAAATTCGACGCATTTCTTCAACTCTCTAGCGGTAGCTAGTGCTGTCAGTGCGATTATGTAAGTCTTGACGTTGACCAAACGGAGTTCGCCCATTTCACGGCAGAGGTCCCATAAGAGATCCACGTTTCTTGATTTTCCGGCGATGTCGAGAACCTTGTTGTAGGTGGTGGGTGTGTGGGGGAATTGTTGGGAGAGTGAGAATAGGTGGAATTTGTAAATGGGTCGCCATGAATATGGGAATTTGTTGCATACTTGGAGGAAAAATTCGTGGGTGAGATCGAATTGTGTTTTGGTGAGGCTGGTTTGGAGTTTTGTGTCGGAGCCGTATTGCTGTTGGTAGAGAACTGTGCATACTCTGAGGAGGTGGGCTTCGTTGACCGGAGCTACGGCAGCTCCGGCGGCGGTGGATAGGGATTGAAGGTGGAGGTGGAAGAGTTTTACGGAAGATTTGGTGAGTTTTGTAAGTCGAAGCATTTAGGGTGTGAAAAATGGAATTTTTTTTTATTTTTATAATTTTTTTTAGGACCGTAGGGATTGATTCATTGAACGAATCTAACTCGGGAAAAAACCTTAAAAAACGAAGGCAAAACAAACACGTGGGTTTGTTAGCAAAGTTCCGCTATTTTCGGGGGGGGGGGGGGGGGGGCTATTTTTCTTGACCCTCCATTAAAAACCATCGTATGAAATAATATTCGTGAAGAAAAGTTCATTTCGCCATTACCCATTTCAGATCTTCTTCAATTCTTGAAATCAAACAAAGAGAAAAGAAAAATGTCGACGGAAAAGGAGAGAGAGACTCATGTTTACACTGCTAAGCTTTCCGAACAAGCAGAACGCTATGACGGTACAATTGTTTCTGTTAAAATACACATTTTTTTTATCGTCTGTACGTATTTTATATCACTGTATCTAGTTTTTGATTTGTGTGGGATTTCTGTATGTAGATCAGTATATATCTCTTTGAGTCATTTCATCGAACACATGGTGAACATAAATTTGTATCTGTCTGTATGTGTGTTTTATTTATGAAATAAACACCACTACTGAAAGATCCATTTCTCTTTGTTCTGATCTTGGTGTTTGTTTGTTTGTTAGTTTGTTTGTTTGTTTGTTCGATATGGCTTAAAATTTTAGATTACGTTTATTTATTGTTCATTTTTTTTCTCAGAAATGGTTGAATGTATGAAAAAAGTTGCGAAACTGGACGTTGAGCTGTCAGTGGACGAAAGGAACCTCCTCTCTGTGGGTTACAAGAACGTAATCGGGGCCCGCAGAGCTTCGTGGAGAATCATGTCTTCGATCGAGCAAAAGGAGGATTCCAAAGGAAACGAAAACAATGTTAAGATCATTAAAAACTACCGCCGTAAAGTCGAAGAAGAGCTTGCCAAAATCTGCCATGATATTCTCTCTGTCATCGACAAGCATCTACTCCCTTCTTCTGCTTCTGGCGAAGCCACTGTTTTTTACTACAAGATGTAACTCAATTTTTTTTACGATTTTTTTTTTTGTTCCTCGATATATTGCTCGTTACTTATGATTGTTGATTTCGTGTTTTTTTTTTGTTTAATTCAGGAAAGGTGATTACTTTCGCTACCTTGCTGAGTTTCAGGCTGAGGAGGGTAGAAAAGAGGCAGCTGAAGAGTCACTCAAGAGTTACGAGGCATGTTTATTTTTCGAGTTTATTGCGTTTCAGTACCGCTTTTGTTATATCGAATTGCTAAAAAACTCCTCATGTTATAAATATTAACGCACAACCCCCTAAAATGGGGTGTTTTCAGGGTTGTGTTTGTTAGTAAAATTGAATCATAGGGGGATTTTTCGACAATTAGAGTAAACACGGGTGCTTTATGAGGCATGTTTATTTTTTGAGTTTTTTGCATTTAGTACCCTTCTGTTATACCGAATATTTTTCGAAAATATATTATATTACCATTGCTAAAAAACTACTCGTTTATAAATATTAGCACACAACACCCTAAATAGTACGTTTTCAGGGTGGTGTTTGTTAATAAAACTGAATAATAGGGGGAATTTGACAATTAGAGTAAACACATGGGTGCTTTATGAGTCATGTTTATTTTTCGAGTTTTGCATTTAAGTGCGCTTCTGTTATATCGAATTGCTAAAAAACTCCTTGTGTTATAAATATTAGCACACAACCCCCTAAATTGTGGGCTTCCGGAGGGGTGTTTGTTAATAAAATTGAATCACAGGGGTGCTAAATGCAATAAACCCTTATTATTAATTTTTGTAAATAATAATAAACCAAGCTATGTTTTTTATTGTCACATTTTTTTTCTTTGGCATTTCATATGTAGGCTGCTTTAGCAACTGCAAATACAGATCTCCCTTCAACTCACCCTATTCGTCTCGGTCTAGCTTTGAACTTCTCGGTTTTCTACTACGAGATCATGAATTCTCCCGAGAGGTACTCTTTTTTGGTGATGATTATTTGTTTTAAATATTTCAAGAAACGAATTATTGATATGCATAAATGTTTATCTAATTAACAAATAAATGAAAAAGGGCGTGCCATTTGGCGAAACAAGCGTTTGACGAGGCGATTGCTGAGCTGGATACTTTGAGCGAAGAGTCTTATAAAGACAGCACACTTATAATGCAGCTGTTGAGAGACAACCTCACTCTTTGGACCTCCGATTTGCCTGAAGATGGAGGTACGTACGTACTTTCATTTTCACCCGAGTTTTTTTTATAGAAACGAATTTACTAGACACGTAAATATATTATATTTTACCGTGTGCAGGCGATGAGATTACCAAAGAGGACGAATCCAAGGAAGCAAAATCAGAAGCAAAACCAGAGGTGAAAATTTTAACACGATCTCGTTTATCATTTTCTTGTTATACATTAACAAGTTATTTTACAATGGTGTTTCTTTTGCAGCATTAATATTTTAGGGTTGAGAGTAATTTACGCCAAAAAGAAAGGGAAATTCGAGGGTTGTTATATTTGCAATCCAATTTCTCAGTTTTCAGCACAAAGGGCTGTTTGGCAAGTTTTGTTATCAGAAAGCTGAAGAAGATGAGATTTTTTATTTATTTATTTTTATTTTTCTTCCTGGATAATTCTCTATTTATTCCTACTGTCGGACGAAGCTTTTGTTTTTCGAGAAATTAGTGTTTTTTTTCCTTTTTTTTTCTTTTGTAGTAAGACTAATTCTCTATATATTTTGGCGGCATCTTCTATATAAATATCGTTTTCTTTTTGCACGATATCTACTTGTTGTTCATCGATAGCACGGATTATGCGCTTGATGTAAGACAAGTTAAAGTTAGCAAATGATGCCACAGATTGATATAAATATTATTACAATCAAATAAAGATGCTGTCAAAGATGCCTGCATATAATTAGATAATCCAAAAAGAATAATAGTAATGCAGGTTGACTGTTGTTCTATATCATATTCTTTGACGCCATTGTAGATGTCATACTTCACGATCTATCTTATATATATATATATATATATATATATATATATATATATATATATATATATATATATATATATATATATATATATATATGAATGTCCCTACATCCTGTTATTATATAGTTTTAGACAGTATAATTAAAAGTAAGCTGACTCATTTTGGATGTAATCAAATGAGTATTCATTCATTCTTGTGTGGGTTCAGAAAATGCATGTTGACAAATAATAACAACACATAATTCTGTATGTATATATATATGCACAATTTCTTTCTTCTTTTGCAATATTCTCATTGAAACACACACACACATGGCTTCAATCTCTAGTGTTGGTTTCCTTCAAAGATCAAGATTGTGTTCCTCGTACGAACAGCGAAACCGAAGTTTATTGAACCCGATTCTACATAGAAGTAGATCACATGCTACTTCGAGAGCAGTTACTAATTCGGAATTCTCACCACTCTCAAATAATTTAATCTTCTCTAAACCTCTTGTAATAGAATCTTCGTGCAAGAACTTGATCAGAAATCCCGGATTGACCGAAATCTTGAATAAACGTCGCTCTTCGTCTAACTTTGTCGTTACTGCAAAAGCTTCTGCTGCAGATGCAGAGGGTCATCGTGAGATAGTTGCGATTTCTAAAGGGTACATTTCTACAATTTGTATGTCGTTTCGTCATATAATGTATTTATTTATTAATAATCGTGTGTTTGATTGACTTATACATGGCAGATTTGCAGAGAGATTTCCAGCTCTAGTTACAGGATTCTTCTTCTTCACATGGTTAGTTAGCTTTTGTTTTCGTCTTATTTTTCAAGTTTCGGTTACTCGATTTAATAATCAGTTATCCTGTTTCTTTTTTTACTCGAAGGTATTTTCTGAATGTTATATTCAATATACTGAACAAGAAAGTCTACAATTATTTCCCATATCCCTAGTAAGTTTTTTCTTAAAACTTTTTTTCCTTAGTGTATATATATATATATATATATATATATATATATATATATATATATATATATATATATATGACTAAATTAATAATTCAAAAACTTCGTACGAAACAGTTTCGTCTCGGTAGTTCATCTTCTGGTTGGAGTAATATATTGTCTGGTTAGCTGGTCTATCGGTCTACCAAAACGAGCTGTAAGTTTCATTTTAATCTTCTCTCAATTAAAAATAAATAAATCAAAAATCAATTTTTCTTCAATTTACGACATGCATAATATAAGAGCAGCCAATCGACAAGAAACTACTGAGCCTTCTCACTCCGGTGGCTTTCTGTCACGCCCTCGGACACGTTATGTCTAACGTATCATTCGCCGCTGTTGCTGTCTCTTTCACACATACCGTCAAAGGTAATAACAAATAAAATGTTCGAATATATGATCAATTAATCGAATAGAATAATCTCGTTAAAACCTTCTAACAATTTTGATTTTTTTTTTTTTTTTTTTTTTTTTTGTTAAACAACAGCATTGGAGCCATTTTTCAGTGCATCTGCTTCACAGTTTGTTTTAGGACAACAAATTCCCCTGTCCCTATGGCTGTCATTAACCCCTGTTGTCATTGGTAAGTGAAAAATAAAGGCAATAATATTTTTTTCCATATTAAAAGTAAATTAAATTGTTATATAATAAAAGTTTTTTTTTTTCTTTTGCTGATAATTTTTGTTAAACCTCTCAATCCAGGTGTATCAATGGCATCCATGACCGAGCTTTCGTTTAACTGGATAGGCTTCGGTAGCGCAATGATTTCGAATGTTGCATTTACTTACAGAAGTATTTACTCCAAGAAAGCAATGGTTTGATATATAATTCACACAATAAATATTCTATAATATATATTGCAAAATCCATACATTATAATGACTAAGTAAAATGTTGTGAATACAGACAGGAATGGATAGTACAAATGTATATGCTTACATTTCGATAATAGCCCTTCTGGTTTGTCTTCCACCGGCAATTTTCGTAAGTTTTGTTTTCTTCCAACAAATATGATTAATTTGATTAGTGACAAAGACTCGATTTTTATTTTTATTTTTTTTCATTTTTCCAAGATAATAAATGAAAATGTTTGGTAATTTGAATTTTGGCGTATTTCAGATCGAGGGTCCGCAGCTAATGCAGCATGGATTCAAAGATGCAATAGCGAAAGTTGGGCTCAACAAGTTCTTGTCTGATCTTTTCTGGATTGGAATGTTCTACCATTTGTACAATCAGGTAATAATTATAATCGTAATATGTACAATCCTCGACTTTTACTTGCTGTGGAATATTTTTTTATAAATACGATTTTCTTGCAGGTAGCTACAAACACGTTGGAAAGGGTTGCGCCTCTTACACATGCCGTAGGCAATGTGTTGAAGAGAGTGTTTGTGATTGGGTTTTCGATTATTGTTTTCGGTAATTATAATTATATCTGAAGCACAACCCAAAAATCATTAATACATCTCTTGTAATTAAATCTTCTGACCTAACAAATTTGAGAAATAAATAATGGCAGGTAATAGGATCTCCACACAAACTGGGATTGGAACTGGAATTGCCATAGCAGGTGTCGCGATATATTCACTCATCAAGGCTAACATGGAGGAGCAAAAACGGGTAAGAGAAAGAAAAAAATCTTCTTTTTCTTCCAAACGAAAAATAGGAAAAATGGCTTATAGATATTTCTGTCGTTTCAGAAGGTTGCTCGAGCTCATGAATCATGAGAGGCTCGTAACAGCCGAACCAGACGAAATTCACATACAATTTCTTACAAATTCGTGCAATAAAGGAAATAGCAGGATAGAATATTCTGCAAGATTTCAACGACCGCAGCAAATTTCCAAGATTACGCTTTCGTTGCAGAACAAAAGGCGTAACGAGGCTTGCACTCTTGTTTTCGTGCAATTTGTGCATTAATTCACTGGCTTAATTTAAAAATACAAATCCGAAATTTGTCAGCATTTTTCAGTTGGTTTACATTATTCATTCAGTCGTCTAAGTCAGCATCGGAAAAAAAATCTGACACGCTGACAAGATCTCGGCAGAAACTAACTTTAAATTGAATATCAAAACATTAATAATGTCAAGAAGAAAACGGTAACCAGATCAGCAAAAAAGCCTACACCAGAAATTATTGATTTCTTGCCTACTGTTTATTCACCATCATCTGAGTGTCTACTGTCAATAATTAATCCTCTAAAGCCTTTTTCTTAGCGAAACGGAATAGAGAAAAACAACGATTGTGAAGCTACCTCGGAACATTCATCCTGCTCAGGCCCGAACAGGACCATACTTTACAAGGATGTAATAATCCGCTCAAAGCTGGTGAAAAGAGAAAAGGAAATACGTGACAACCGAAATCCTGACCACAGTGCACAAAAAAACCTGCCAAGCATTGTAGCAGGAGTTAGAACTCTTGACATAAATCAGAACAGACATTTAACAGTGTACTCACAAGAAATCGGGAATTTCAATCTGAATTTTCGGACAAACCTTAAAAGACACGAAGATGTGTTAATGGAATCAAGCGTAATCTGTGACGTATTGAAGATTAAAAAGTACATCTCTTCGACTTTCTGTTCCCAAACGAATTTTTAACTGTCTGGCAAAAGATTCCACCTTGGCATCAGAGTCATAGTCCATCTCTCGAACACAACGCCTTCGGATCTTTTTTAGCAGTTTCTTTGATGGTTCATATCCTGCATGTATCTGCTCGAGAAGTTTTTGCAGCGGTTTGGAGTTGGAATTCCATAATATCAATTATTAAAACACTATAATCTAATGGGAACAAAATCAAACAACACGAAAAATTTACCATTTCGTCAACCACAGAGAGAGCAGCTTTAGGGTCCCGCTTAATAAGATGAGCATCGATAAGTAAAGTATATGTAGTCGAATTTGGTTTCAAGCCTAATCCAACAAAGTGCTCGAATACTTTTACAGCTTCATCTCTCTGTCACATAAAAAGGCCTTCTGCCTCAGTAGAAATAAGCAACAATATTTACAAGATGAATGCGTTGGAGCGTATTAATTCAGTATGTTTATCAACATTCAAATATCAAGTTAAGCACCCACACACTAGTGGAAGAACATGCAGAAATTCTAAACACACACACACACACACACACACACACACACACACTAGTGGATGCACATGAGTTACCTTGCTGAGCTTCCCAAACGCATATATAAGGGCATTGTATGAATGGACGTTCGGTGTCAATCCAAAACTGGAATCAATTGCATTAAACGTCTGGTATGCACGATCAACATCCCATATATTCGCACAGCCAAGAATAACACAATTGAGAGCAGCAACAGATTTGTATGGAGGATTGGCATGACTTAAATTCTCCAGCTGATAATAAACCTGAGCAAATGCTTAAAAAAATGCTATTAACTGCAAGAACTTATTAAGTGCAGCACTACACACTTTCACAGGGATTAAATAATGAAAACAATAAGCCCAAAGACAAAAGAAGGTACATATTCAAGCAATTTCATGTTAAGATCAGTATCTAATCTCCAACTTCAGATAGTCATATTGCTGAATATATGAGAGACGTGTTCATATTCTTACTCTGTAACCTCAGAAAGCATTAGGCATTTAGAACTTACTGAATCCAGAGTCGCAAAACCATTCTTGGAGCATGCCATGACTAAAGGATTTAAAGAATAAAATGGAGAGAACAAATCATCTGCATCTTCCTGGCTAGAATTTCCATAAGCTGTCTCAAATTCATGCAGAGTGCTAAAAGCCTTCTGCAGGTTCCCCAAATTAGCATGAGCATATATTTTCCCAAGGTAAGATTCGGGATTCGGCAACTTCTTTTGGCGCAACGACCGCTTAAGAACAGCCCATGAACCATCCAGGAGTTTAGAATGACCAATTCTACCAGCAGTTCCGATGGCAGAGACAACTAATCCTTCATCTGCAGCAAGAAGAACAGGAGGCCTTGCCCTCTCTCCTTGAGCAATCCACTTGGCCATGAACTCAAGTGCATAATAAGTTAGTTCACCATTATCTGATTGCATTGCAATATCAGCAATATAATTGCATACACGCCAAGGAGGACATAAGGATTTGTTCTGATCCATTTTCTGATGACATCCACAAAGCCAAAATCATAAAACACGCTAATGATATGTACATTGCTTATAATCACCATATGGACAGAAGAATAGCCAGCAAAAGTATGTACCTTGCACCTCTCTATAATGGACACCAATGTTTCCAGCCTCCCATTACTAACACAACTTTGCACACAATCCACAAACGCCTTCATTGACAACATATATCCAGATTTCAACGTCAGATCTATGTACTTTAGGGCGGCATCAATCTGGTTCTTTGAAAGAAGCATAACAATTATCAAGTCATATGACTCTTCATCAGGCAAAGATTCTTTATATTCTTTTCCTGTCTGGATCATCCTGATGTCAATAAGTAAACACTCAACCATCAAAAAGTATACACCTAAAAAAAATTCATAAACGCACTAAACCCATCATCAAAAGTTCAAAACACAATGTAATGAAAATCCTTAACGATGAGAACAAGTTTCATGATAGTGTTTTTTTTTTTTTTTGAGGTCAAAATAAATCCCAATGTAGGCCAAAATAAAAAACCAAAGCAAGACAACACTATAAGCAAGAATATGTTACAAAAAAATATTGGTAACCTTGCTCTACCCATGGAAACTCATATCTTGCATTGGTTCTACACTTCAACTATCTTATGAACAACAACTCACACAAAATGACAATTTATACATATCCAACAGCAGACAAATCACTCTTCCAAAATTTGTAGCACAAGCTATAGACAGATACCAAAAACCAGTACAGCCAGAACAGTCGAGTCTCATTACCAACTAGTCAGGTAGTAGAAAATTTTGTGTAGGTAAAATACTAAATGAAAGCAAAAAAGTATTCATCTCTTTCGATTTCCAACAATTCTGTAAGAACCTCCAAACCGACATAACAGCAACAAGATAACAAACTTTTCGCTCAGAAAATTCCGGAACAATTAAATCCAACCTTTCAATCAACTTCTCCGCTGCAACAGTTTCACCGGCCTTCTGCATTGCCTTAAGTACAAGATTATACGACGCGGTATTAGGCAAGATCCCATAATCATCCATTTGTGCTACAACATCAAGCAATTCCCCTGCAGATGACCCGATCATCAAATTTGCACGCAAATAATGATTATAGAGATTCACATCAGGTTTATTCGGCTTCCCATTCACATCCAAAGACCTAATCCAGAACTCAAAAAGCTGCTTCATATCCTCCCAACGCTGCGACGTCATCCAATCCGCGAACTGATTCATCAAGCTCTGCGAGTCAAGCGACTGAGAGAGCATCTGAATACGCGCGCCCTGCGTATGCTGGAGAAACCCTAACCCGACGGGAATAAGCGCCCCATCGCCGGCCGAATAGGCGGATGTAGGATTCCGCCAGTTCTCGTTGTAGCGCGGGCTGCCGGAGGCAGGATTCGGTGGAAGCGGCGGCGCGTGCACCGGAGGCTCCGCCAGCTGCGCCTCCTGCTGGAGGTGAATGAATGTGGAGATTGACTTGAAGTTCTGCAGCCTGACGAACGGCCGCGATTTAGCCAAAAATGCGATTGGCGCCATTTCCGTTCCGAAATTGTAGATTCTGTATCTATATATATTGTATATATGTATTCTATGCTTCCATGGAAGTAGAACTGTGAAGTGAGAAATGTAGAATTGTAAATCCCAGTTAGGGTTTTTGGGGGAGTTTGACAATTCGACGCCGGAATTGGATAGTTTGGTAATTATGCAGATTTGCTGTTTTGGGGAGTACCTACAAATCTGGGCGGGTCATTGCATCGAATCGGGTTTGGGCTTTTTTCTTTTTGGGTTAGGCTTTGTTTGGAATTTAACTAATACAATAACTAAGGCCGGATATTAGATCTTATTTGATGGGCCAACCCGTTAATTCACTGAAAATTTTGATGGGCCAACCCGTTAATAAAAGTCAATATAATAATTAAATATCTTTTTATATATATGTTTAGTGAAGGAATAATGGAATATATACGTAAATCATAAATGGGAAACTTCCTTGCTTTCGATGAATGAATCCAACCAAAAGTTAAGACATCAAATTTATTCCATTTTTTGGAATTATATGAATATCTTTAATTATTTTAAAGGGGCAACATTTAATATGTATTATGTTTAATTAGATTTTAATGATATGGCATAATTCCTATTAATACACATAATTTTAGGAAAATGAAATTTGTATTAAGATTTGTCTAGCTGATATTACAAGCTCTTAAAATATAATTTATAGTATAAGATCTCTCAACAAAAAAAGTGATTTTTTTTTCAAAAGAAGGGATCTTGTAAAAGAATCCATTAAAGAAGTATTTTCCTTATAAAAAAAAAAAATTAAAAGTGTAATATTTTGTGTGTGAAAATAATTTAAAAAGATATTCACATGGTGTAACATTTATTTACCAATATACCATGTCCATGCCCTAATCAATGGCATGTGCTTGTATCTAATTTAAACTCTTTAATTAACCATCATTAGTAATATATTTCGAATTAAAATTAACAATTTTATTAATTAAAACACTGGAAATAAAAAAAAATCAAGTCGACTGACATAATCGTACGTGCCCAACATGGGGCTAACTTAACCATAGCCCTAACCAAGACGGGATTAGATTCTGACCACACACCTGAGTTTATGACCGTTTGAAAAAAAAAGCCCAAATGCACACAGACACATGTACATATGGTACAACACACTCAGCGTAGTTGCCCATAATAAAACACTCTTCAACAACCATATATATTAATTTAATATAATATAAATATATTATAATATAATATAATTTAATTAGTACTTGTCAAAATTAATACACACACCACACGTATAAAAAGGTGCCTCTCACTGTTGCACCATCGTCAATCCAATCTCCCCTGTCCGAAAAATCTGCACTCCTTCTTTTCTTCTCACTTTCTCTCTCTAAGATTCTCTCTCTCTCTCTCTCTCTCCTAAATAATAGCTATGGCTGCTTTTGTAGTGGGATTAGTCCTTGTATTGGCCATGACCGGCTATTCAGGTAGTAATTATATTCCAGCTTTCTTTTTTTTTTTTTAATTTAGGTTTTTAAAGTTTTGATTTTTATTTATTTTTTAATTGAATTAAAAATTTGCAGATGCAAGTTATTGCGTGTGTAACAGTGGAGTGAGTGACGCTGTTCTTCAGAAGAACATAGATTACGCTTGTGGCGCTGGAGCTGATTGTACAGCTATTATGCAGAACGGCGCTTGTTTTAACCCTAACACCGTTAAAGATCACTGCAATTACGCCGTTAACAGTTATTACCAGAGGAAGGCTCAAATTACTGGTAGCTGTGATTTTCAGGGCACTGCCGCTGTTACCCAAACTGCCCCCAGTAAGTTCATCAAACATTAAAAATAAATAAATAAATAAATCATTTTTTTTTATTAGATGCTAATTATTGTATATGTTTCTTGATTATTATTACACAGGCGCTGCTCCTGGATGTGTGTATCAATCTAGTCCCAGGTTTGATGTTCTGTCTCTTTTGGATTTTCATGAATTTTTTTTTTTTTTTTTTTGGTGTGAATGATCAAATTTTATAAATTTATACTCATTTTGATCCTAAGTTTTGATCTTTTTGATATTTTACATAATAATGCTATGAAAAATAAATTATCTTTAATTGGTGGAAAGAAGTATAATATTCCCTCAAACTGTGATCCGCATGAGTGATGAAGTCAACTGAATTGTAAGCATATGTGATATGGTAACAAAATATTTATTATTTTTTTTGCACAACACTAGAAAAAGAAAAAGAAAAGTATGGTAGATCCATTTGCCTTTTTAGGGTCAAAATAATAATAAATTAAATACATTTGTTCATAATACACCAACAGAATCATATGAGCTGTCATGATGTTGATGTGTAATATATATATATATATATATATATGTGTGTGTGTGTGTGTGTGTGTGTGAATGTTCAGCCTAATTAGTTGTCCTGTCTTCTGGTGTACCTTATTCCTTAATTATATTGATCATCATATATATAATGTAATTTTCCTCCATTAAATATTATTTCTTGTAACAAATTAAAAAAAATAAAAATGAATTGCAGTGGCGGAGGAGGAGGAGGCAGCACAACCCCACCGGGCACTGGCGGCACCACCCCCAGCCCGCCGGGCATTGGCGGCACCACCCCCAGCCCGCCGGGTACATTTCCGGGATCGCCGGTGATTCCGGGCATGGGGCCCACAGGAAGTGGATTTGGCAACACAGACAACAGTGCCAGTTTTAAAACATTGCCTCAAACTTTTGCTATGGCTGTTTTTGTTGTTTTTTTTTCCTTGTGTCTATATTAATTTCTGGGCATAGCATCTGAGGTAAAGATTATTATTATTATTATTATTGCCACGAGGGTTTTTTTCTTTTTAATTAATATAGTAGTCCATTAACATTAATATTATTATTAATATTTATTTATATTTATATATTTGTATTTTTCCTCTCTTGTGGAAAAAGAAAGTAGGGGAATTTGATTCCTTTTGGCTTTATGGGGTAGCAGAAAGCTGTGTCTCTTTTGTTTGGATTTTTCCTTTTTATTATATCTAGATATGGAGGGCAGCTTTTATTATTATTAAAATTAATATTAATTTATGTTCATACCAAATTTTAGTGAGATTTTGCTACCTTATTTCAAAGTATTTATTTAATGGTTTATAATAATTCATGCATATGTATGACTTTTTCTTGTCTTATTTTCTGTTGTGCATGCTTTGACACGAAACATCCTAGAACATAGGCGGTCATGACAGGCTGCCTGCCGTCTTCAGAGTTTTTTTTCTTTTT